TGTCTCCTGCCAGTGTCCTACAGGGGGCGCCATCATCATCTGCCTGTCCCTTGTCTGCTCTTCCTCACCTCAGTGCCTCTGCTCTGTCTCCCTCCCACTCCTCTCTCACCTTCATCATCACCACTCAGGTGAATGCAGGCTGCAGGTCAGGTGGGGGCAAATGCTAAACTGACCTGCTCAGCCAGTTACCCTCCCTTCTGTGATTAAGTACAAGGGCTGTTTTGTCTCTGCAGCCTCTTTGTGTCTGACAGAACACACATACTCACCAGGGCCTTTCTCTCCTCCAGCTACAGGGGGCGCCAGTCTCTCCACTACCACAGCCGCCACCACCTCCCTTCCCCCATCTCCTCTTCTCCCCTCTCTCTTGTCTCTCCTCCTCCTCCCTTCCCCCTCGACCCCTCCTCTTCCTACCCCTACCACTTCCTTCCCTCTACCTTGCCACTCTCCCTTCTCCTCCACCTTTCCTCTTTGTCTCTCCTCCCTCCTGTCCCTCTCTGACTCCCCCTTTCCTCTCCTCCCCTCCCCCAGACCCTGTCACCACCCTTTCCCATCTCCCTCCCTCCCTCTCTCTCACCTCCCTTCCCTCTCTGAAAGGCTGTTAGGCGCTCCTGCACACAGCACTGCAGATGAGGCCTCCGCCTCCCCCACAATCTGCCAGGCCTCTCTCTCTCTCTCTCCTTCAGTCTCCCCCACCACTCCTCCCCCTCCATCCTTCCCTTCCTCCTTCTCTTTCACCCCTTACAACAGCATAGCAACACTGAGTAGTCAGCCACGGAGAGTCTTGTCTCTCTCCCTCTTGCACTGGGGTAATTTCCCTCCATTTTAGATTTCTCATCCCAGAGCAGCAGAGGATGAGGTTTTAATGAAATACTTGAAGGTAAAAATATACACATCTGATCTCACTCAATTTACCTGGGTTGGGAGAACAATGTGATTCACTACATCTAGGAGAGTTAGTCATCCAATGGTGCACCCTAGTAAAGGGTTAATAATATAGTGTTCTATTTCTAGTCTCTAATCACTGGTAACATGTAGACAGTGTCTGTTGGTACAAATGTACAACTGGATCGCAACAGCACAAACACATATGTCTATTTTGTTTCAGGTTTTTCTACAACATCTCACCTAGAACAACACACATTTAAGCAAGCTTTAGTAAACTGTGTCTGACGAGCAACTGGTTAAGGAAACTGGACAACAGTGGTGCATTCAGTGGATGAGATTTTACACTGGTACTGTATTTTGAGGATGGGCGCATTCAAGGCACAATTCCTAACCCCACCATCAGGAGTAAAATCTTTTTCAGTCTTTTCACAAATACTAATGAAAGTTATCACAATCACGTCATTGACTCCATCTGTCATTTCTAGGGTTAAAACAGTACTGGAGAGGTTGTATCTAGCAATGAAATTATCATTCTGCACAGTAAACTCTCATTCTTCATTATACCAGAGATAACACTCTCGAGAAGCTAAATTGAAATGAAACTTAATTTTGGTTGCCAAGCAATAGTGGATATTCCTGGAACTATTTTGGCTACTTAAAGGCACAGCTGGCAAGTGTTAAGTCTTAATCTCACATGTGATGGCTCAAGGTGCACATTCTTTAAATCTGGGATTGAAGGAGAATATATAGAGATTTTATTTTAGAAACATAACTACAATCCCATCCTGATTCCCTCCACTGTATTTTCAATCTACTTAGTAATGTAAAATCTCATTAAAAGATGTTTCAGATTGGTAGATGATTGGCTCATTTTAACCGTCCGTTAAAAGAATCAGTTAACCTGTGAGAAAGGCTCATTTTTATACCTGGTGACTGTGAGAACACCATCACACTTCGATGTCATTTCTGTCAAGAAATGAATGAAACATACAGACATTAACTTCAAAATTGCAGAAAAACTGAAAATCAAATTACAGGCATCTTTTGTGGCAGTGAATCCTTTTTCCCTGACTGCTCACCTAGATTTGCTATCAGCATTATTACCACAATTAGTCCGACAAGAAGAAGAATTTGTGTAGGAAACTTATAACCAGTGTTGTAGTCAAGTCCCTAGACCTCAAGTCCGAGTTCGAGTCCAAGTCCCCAGAGAATAATCCAAGTCGACTCCAAGCTGAGTTAGAACTAGTCTGAGTTGAATCCCTGTTACCTGAGACAGTCATCAAGGTCAACATTAACTGCTCTCAAAAGTTCATGTCCTTGTCTCCAACATCTGAGCCCAAACGCAGTCAGTGCTTGACTCCAAATCACCAGTGCTCAAGTACAAGTTGAGTCACAAGTCCTGTATATCTAGACTTGTAATACTTGAGTCCTGGACCCAAGTACTACAACACTGACTGCAACAATATATGCAATTCATCAAATCATACTTAAACTGGTTTATCAACATAACAGCTCATGATATATACATCCTCAAATAAAATTTAAAAGTCCTTTTATTTGTTGTGCCAGAATATTTGCTTTATTTCATGACCAAATGTGTTAGTGTACTAGACATTTTTGACCAAACTTGTCCCTCTGCCCTCCTATAGTAGTCAGTGCATCTCTGATGTCCCATTGGTTTACAGTTACATCCCTCCCTACATTTCTGCCAATTCAGTATAAAACTGCAATGTTTGCCGTTTTTCTAGTTAAATAAACAGAAGGGTGGCAAATGAAAGGAAAAACCTGAATAGGTGAGTGGTGTCTTCCAGGATGACAGGTCATGAGGGGTCACTGAATGATTTGATGACTATGAAAATGATGTGAATCATATGCTGTGGCTTTCACAGTCACTAGATCCAGTTGAACACCTGTGGGAGATGTTGGAGCAGCATGTTAGACAGAGTCTCCACTACTATCATCAAAATACCACACGAGGGAATGTCTTTTAGAAGAATGGTGTTCATCCCTCCAGTAGAATTCAGAGACTTGCAGGTGCACTGAAGCTCTTCTGGTGGCACATGGTGGCCCAGCACCCGACACAGAAGCTGTATGTAGGGTTTTCCTTTAACTTGTCACCTGTATATTTTAACATTGTGCAATGTTTAGCAGTAGTCGTATTGTTACCATTCATTTGGTGTTTGAGATCAAACCTAAGACAGTTCTCATCAGTCTTAGTTTGGGAGGCAGTGATTTTTATCTAACTGCAATTTAAAGACATTTACAATGAATTAGTGACAGAAAACAGTATTTCACAAAATGTACTATTTTGCCATGAGTCTTTTTGGGAATGATGCAACAAGTTTTTCACACCTGCATTTGGGGATCCTCTGCCATTCCTCCTTGCAGATCCTCTCCAGTTCTGTCAGGTTGGATGGTAAACGTTGGTGGACAGCCATTTTCAGGTCTCTCCAGAGATGCTCAATTGGGTTTAAGTCAGGGCTCTGGCTGGGCCATTTAAGAACAGTCACGGAGTTGTTGTGAAGCCACTCCTTCGTTATTTTAGCTGTGTGCTTAGGGTCATTGTCTTGTTTGAAGGTGAACCTTCGGCCCAGTCTGAGGTCCTGAGCACTCTGGAGAAGGTTTTCGTCCAGGATATCCCTGTACTTGGCCGCATTCATCCTTCCCTCGATTGCAACCAGTCGTCCTGTCCCTGCAGCTGAAAAACACCCCCATAGCATGATGCTGCCACCACCATGCTTCACTGTTGGGACTGTATTGGACAGGTGATGAGCAGTGCCTGGTTTTCTCCACACATACCGCTTAGAATTAAGGCCAAAAAGTTCTATCTTGGTCTCATCAGACCAGAGAATCTTATTTCTCACCATCTTGGAGTCCTTCAGGTGTTTTTTAGCAAACTCCATGCAGGCTTTCATGTGTCTTGCACTGAGGAGAGGCTTCCGTCGGGGCACTCTGCCCTAAAGCCCCGACTGGTGGAGGGCTGCAGTGATGGTTGACTTTTTACAACTTTCTCCCATCTCCCGACTGCATCTCTGGAGCTCAGCCACAGTCATCTTTGGGTTCTTCTGTACCTCTCTCACCAAGGCTCTTCTCCCCCGATAGCTCAGTTTGGCCGGACGGCCAGCTCTAGGAAGGGTTCTGGTCGTCCCAAACGTCTTCCATTTAAGGATTATGGAGGCCACTGTGCTCTTTGGAACCTTAAGTGCAGCAGAAATTTTTTTTGTAACCTTGGCCAGATCTGTGCCTTGCCACAATTCTGTCTCTGAGCTCTTCAGGCAGTTCCTTTGACCTCATGATTCTCATTTGCTCTGACATGCACTGTGAGCTGTAGGGTCTTATGTAGACAGGTGTGTGGCTTTCCTAATCACATCCAATCAGTATAATCAAACACAGTTGGACTCAAATGAAGGTGTAGAACCATCTCAGGGATGATCAGATGAAATGGACAGAGCCTAAGTTAAATATATGAGTGTCACAGCAAAGGGTCTGAATACTTATGACCATGTGATATTTCAGTTTTTCTTTTTTAATAAATCTGCAAAAATGTCAAAAATTCTGTGTTTTTCTGTCAATATGGGGTGCTGTGTGTACATTAATGAGGAAAAAAATGAACTTAAATGATTTTAGCATATGGCTGCAATATAACAAAGAGTGAAAAATTTAAGGGGGTCTGAATACTTTCCGTACCCACTGTACGTGTCCAAACCTGACCTGGATTTGAATATAATTTTTAAATTTCTGTCCAAACCTGGCCTGAGCCCTCGGTAACTGATGGGTCTTGCAGGGGCTTGGTTGGGGTATGGTCCCCGCTGACTGGATGAAGACCACTGCACTACAGTAATCAATTCACCACGGGTGCACTTTGGACTGTAAACCTTTAGCCTCCATTGAGGAGGAACTAATGTCCCATTTTGACCAAAAACAGGGCAAATCATTCATTGTTGTACTGTCAACTTGCATGAACACTCTATAACAGGATGTTAAACCACTTGTTTATATAAAGTTTTGCTATGGGACCCTGAGTTTTGAATGTGATAGTTTTACCATAAATATTGCAAGATGAAAATTCAAGTACAGATGCAGACAGAAGCAGATTTTAAATACTCAATGTAAAAGAAATAATGTTTTTGTTAACTACTGCTGTACATCAAAATCGCTCTGTTCCTTACTTTGAACAATGAAGCCAGCACGGCCATTAGTCCTGTAAGAAGCACAATTGCAGAACTTTATTGTTTATAAATGCTTAAGTGAAAAATTAAAACATGGAACAAATACACACAATTCAAAGAACACACTGAACACAACTTTCTGGCTTGAAAAAAAAAAATGCATTCACTTTTGTGGACATCAGTATGGTGGCTACTATCCAGGTTTGTGGTGCAGAGAAACATTAAGTTAAACAGAAAGCAAGTACAGTACAGTCAAGGCGAATGTGCACAAGGCTGCAAAAAGTTGATGAAATGCTCCTTTATACCACAAGATAAGATTAGCTTGGTGCCACTATTCTGTCAGAGCAAAATTAATGGATAAAATAAAAAATTCAGATCAAATTAATAGCAAAAACAAATCAATTGTTATTTATAGGTAGTTTACAAAAAAGTCTTTTTTTTAAAATAAACGTATAAGAAAATACCAGCCACTAAAGCGACACATATCGTTAAGCATATGGGTGCAGATCATATGAGTCTACTTTACACACAGGTAATAGCAAATATTTAAGGGTACATGTACAGCAACATCTGTCCAAACAGGTCTAAAAGACTGTACAAATTTACACTATCTCAGTATTACTACATGAAAAATGATGGAATATCTGGTCAGCCCAACAGCTTTACCTCACAACAACTCAATATTTTAAGCCACACTTACAAGTTCAGTGGCTAAATCAATTTTTTTTAATCCCCTTCTCTCAATGTAATAAAGTATACTGAAGGCAAAAACCTTTTTCTGTTTGTTTGGTTTAACTTCATTGTTCATGGCTGCACTTTCCCTCCCACTCTGGGGGGAAACATAAAACAAAACTTTACATCAATCCCAGCTGCTCATCGAGTCCTGGCTTTAAATGTCATTGAATGGCTTGTTTAGAGTTTTCACCCAAGGAGATTTCTCTCTTTATTACTGGCATTTTCACAGACGCCCAGTGTAACAGTGTCCTTCAGTCCATGCGAGGCAGATTTGTTGGTGTGGATCAAACCTTAAGTGTCCCTCTGATGGTGGGAGTCCTTTTGAGTTTACCAGTCACACTTGCTGTTTGCCCAGCTGAGCCCCATCTCTGCCGCTTCTTGCAGATGATGGTACAAACTTGGGAATAATGATGGGTAGAGCATCTCTCCCTTTAGCAGCCTGTCTTCCTGAGCCCTCTGTGGGCCCAAAGCCATTCTCTACATGTGTCCCTTCGTCCTCATCGTCGTCATCTTCATCATCATCATCATCATCATCTTCTTCTTCATCGTCGTCTGACATATCATCTAGATCCGAGACAATCTTGGCTCCTGTCCTCAGCTCCATTTTCTTCTCGGCTCCAGTGAGCTGGTCGTCACCATGGAGATGCACCTCTCCCTCTCGCTCCCTGTTATTTTTCTGCTGCTCTTCCTCATCACTATCAGAGTCTATGGCAATGGGCTCAGAAAGGTCCAGAGGCATTTTCTGCGGTAAGGTGCTGTTGATTGTCCTGGTTTGGTCTCTGCTGGCACTGTTGGGTTTGTGGGCAGATGATGTTGCTTTACTACCTTCTACAGCTCCAACTGGCTTTTCCTTTGGAGGTGAGACCATGCCACCATTAGCAGCTATACGCTCCCTATGTCTCAGGAGAGCCTGCTCTGACACCCCCATTCGTGTCCTAGACGTCCGCCTCTTACTACTTCTGCCTTCGTACACCCCGTCCTGTTGGAACGCCAGCTCGTGCTTGACGTTGCTGAGCTTGTGCATGCTGAACCCGAGCAACACGCTAGCATTCTGGGTTTCACACTCCTGTATGCATTTCCATCTTCTGTTGACAAAGTGACTGGAGATGTCTGACTTCCACAGCCACAGACTGGCGGCCAGCTTCTCCACCTCTCGTTGTGTGGGATATGGTGCTCGATTGAAATACTGTGTTAGAAATGCCTTCCTGGACTCGTATGACTCATTTTCGTGTCCTTTAGGGTCAAGAGCCAGAACTACAGGTTCATCAGGATTTTCAACAAACGTAGATGGGCCGTTGATATCCTGTGGGTGGGCCTTTTCACCAGGAGGTCCTGGCCTCCTTCGCTTTGGTGCACTACTGTCAGAGCTATCAAAGCTGGCCCGCTTGAGAGCGCTGCTCTGGACCTGGCTGCCCCGAGAAGGGTGAGCTGCCCGGCTGTCCTGCCCAAGCAGTCATGTTACTAGTATAAACTCCCAGGCAGTGAATACACTTGTAGGTCAGTTTCTTTTCTACAGGGTGGACTGTCTGGATTACTTGGTGCCTCTCTCTCAGGTGGTGGGCCAGAGAGTCTGAGATCGGACCTTTAAGGATAGAAAAACAAAGAGGACACAGCGTCTTGCCCACATCTCTTTTGTATGGCACAGATGCCTGTAGGGGACTCTTGATTGGTGCACTGTCAGCGGCCCCAGAAGGTGTTCTGGGTGGGTGCTGAGGCATTAGCCTCTTGCCTGCCATTAGGGAGGCAGACAATGCTGATGAAACAGAGGTGTTGTTTTGAGCGTGAAACGCCACAGACTCCTCTGGAGCATCTCTCATGTTGTAGGTAGTGACAATCAACTGAACATTCTTGGGATTACCCTGCTGCAGGGTGAGGTCAAAGGTCAAGGGAGAGTCTGTGCGTGGGCCAACACTCTCAACTGGGTGCGACAGCCGCATGTGGGCCACCATCTTTTCAACGTCATTGAAAGTTGCACGGCAATGAGGGCAAGACAGACCATGGATCAACATGTGGTTTAACAATGTGTCACTAGGGAGATATCGGTTGCAGTAGAGACACTTGCTGGTGAAATTGTGGATCTTCATGATGTAGTTGGCTACAGCAGGCACCTTCTCCGCTTTGTGCTCTTTTTCAAAATGAGAACTGTACACGTTCTCTGGGAAGAGCTCGTTGCAGATGGTGCAGATTTTCCACTTCTGAGTGTAGGATGTGCCAAGGACTGAAGGACCACTTTTCTTGGCCGTGACAGAAGCTACAGTAGTAGCTGCCGCCTGGACACGTGAACCCAGGGGGTTGGATCTGAGTGAGGAAGAGGCACTAGCCACCACTGGGCTTCGCAGGCCACCACCAGAAATAAGCTGCTTTGCTGCATGCGACTGCTGGGGTACAGAAACCTGGGCATTCCCTGGTAAAGTAACCCTCACCTGCTGGCTACCAATAGAGAACGGCTGAGTAGTCACCGCTTTTAATCCTATTGCATCATGTCTTATCCCAGATAGAAGACTGTGAGAGTTGAAGCCCGTCTTTAATGCAATGATATCTCGGCCCAACTGCTGTGAGCCAGGAGACCTGGTAGTGGCCATTACTGCACCTTTAGGGCCCATCCCAATGATGGTCTTGTCTCCTTGGGTTTTGGCGGGGATCATGATTATGGGTTTGGGACGGGGGACTATGACACTAGTGTGGCCAATCATGGCAGTCACCTGGTAGCCAATCTTCTCGTGGTCCTCAATGACATGCTGAACAAGTGCCTCGTAGGTCCTCGGAACAAACAAGCACTTCTTGCAGTGGATCTGGTTGCCGTTAACATGGTTTGTGTTACTACTGTCTGTATTCCCTGTGCCACCATTCTGTGCATTCGCCTTCTGTCCTGGCTTCACTATATAGGGCTGGGCTACTTGCTGGAAGTGTTCCCGGTAGATGTGCTTTCGCACTACATTGTACAAAGGGTCCCTGTAGGTGCACTTCTTACAATAGTACACCGCCTGTTCCACACTGTCCCCGGTCCTCTTCAGCACCCCATCCCTCATCATGATCCCACCAGCTCCTGCCACCATCCCACCCGGGCCCTTTCGCACAGTGTTGTTAGGCATGTGGAAGAGTTTGATGTGGGTTTCCAGAGTCTTTTTGTTACCATTGTAAGTACAATAGGGACAGTTGAGCAGAATGTTGTTCTCAAAGTCCTCACTGTGGACATTGCGGAAGTGACTCTTGTACGCAGAGAAGTACTTGGATGAGAAGAGGCAGCCTGAGCAGCAGAACGGCTTCGATCTGTAGTCCTGGAGACACAGAGGTGGGAAGAGGGTTGGAATTTACTAGTTCTTTGTCTGAGAGAAACAAAACAATTGTATTGTACCTTTACACTTATTTTCTGATGTTTGGCTAAACAAAACAATAGATTCAAGTATCAGTGTTGCCAAGGTGCAGGATATTTACAAACAGGTGACAAATGAAAGAAAACAACCACATAAAGCGTCATCACATGCCACCAGAACAGCTCCAGGGATGAACACCATTCTTCTAAAAGATATTTCCTCATGTGGTGTTTGGATGATGGTGGTGGAGACGCTGTCCAATACGACACTTCAACATCTCCCATAGGTGTTCAACTGGGTTGAGATCTGGTGACTGTGAAGGCTACAGCATACGATTCACTTTCAGGGTGTAAAATTAACACCAGCCAAGTGCCATTGTGGCTAGATTGTTCATTTGGTGAATAAATCTCAGAAGACTACCCACCACACTGGCAGGTAAATGTGTAGCACAAACAGTATTGATAGTCCTTCCAGTAGGCACCCTGCTTCTGTGTGTGCAAGAGTTTGACACGCACACACCTGTATTCTGTGAGGACCCACTCCTACTCTGCCTAACTTTCTGAGACAAACATAAAAATAGGCTTTAGGTTGCAGCATAGGTGACACACGAGCCGAAAAATGGGCAGTGTAGTCAGCTGAACTGATTAAGATAAAGATAAAGTAGGAAGGAGCCTATCGGTTACACATGCATCTTAAAAACACTGCTGAAATGGTTTTGGTGGAGACATGGTTTGCTGTCCAAGTCCATCTAGCCAATTGTCTGGCCATAACAACCTCCACCAAGAAACAGTGTGTCCCTGTGTGTGTGCATGCGTCGCACAGACAGGGCACGAGACCAGACTTCAGGGACCTTGCAAAGAAGGAGGTGATTGTGACAGGGAGTGAGGAGTCTCAGGAGGAGCTTTTAGCCATTCCAATTCATTTTTGTTTGTCCCTGAATTTTACAATCATACTTCATAAGTTGTATTGTGGCTTTTAAATTTTAATTAAAAAAAATAAATGTATCAACTGCTGACTGATATAGCCTATTAATATAATTTTGCCTCTGTTTGTATTCAACATAATACCTCCATTCTCCCAAAAGATATTTCCTTCATGTGGTGTTTTGGTGGTGGTGGAGATGCTAACACATTGCTCTGACATCTCCCATAAGTGTTCAACTGGGTTGAGATCTGGTAGCTGCGAAGGTCATAGCATCTGATTCACATCATTTTCATACTCATCAAACCAGTCAGTCACCCCTCGTGTCCCATGGATGGGGACACTGTCCTCAATGAAGAGACCACTCACTTATTCAAAGTTTTCCTTTCATTTGTCACCTGTGTGTATGTGACAGAACAAATGTGTGTACGACATACCTGAACTTTGGTATGTGATGGTTCCCACATGCACACATCTTCCCACGTTGTGTGTTTTATATAAACCTCTGGTGGAGTAAAGTCTTTGTAGTCCTAAATAACAAAGAAATTAACATTAAAACTTGATGATGAAGCAAAGGCACAATTAGTGAGGAGAGTATTTCAAGTACAGCCATGATATATGCTTATGTGGAAACATAAAAGGGGGCTTCTGGGTAACTGTAGGAAACAGATTTGTTGACGTTCATGAATCCAAAATCTGCATCTGCTGTCCTCAGTGTCGAACAAATGCTGATTAGATGAAGCACAATACAAAAATCTGAGAGAATATTTATTTTGTTATTCAGAAATACTTCACCAGGATGAAATGAGCACTCTGTATCCAGCCTTTTATTGTCCTCTGGAACATACGTTTACTATATGTTGGGGCTGGAAAGCAAGTCATTGTTTTTACTTATGGTCTTCATATACACTTACTGAGGAGTATAGATTCTAGATCGGAGTTCTCGTGCCCATCTGTTACTGAAATCTGTCAGATGTGAATGTGTGACATCATTCAGGTAGTCGCCTAAAGACAGTCAGACACCTCATCTAACCTGACCAAATCTGTATAATTCTTCAGGTCTGTGCTTATAAAATCCAGAGGACTGGAGGCTGAATTATGTGATACCTCTGGTTTTTCCTTTTAAGCCTGAGGAGCATCCTCAGCCTCCATTAAGGGAGATATATCAGATGATAAGGTACAGTACCTGTGTGCACAGCTGGTATGTAGTGTAGCTGGGTACTAATTACAGAAAAATTGAATTAGTTTTACTTTATTACCAACTTCCAGATGAATTCTGATGAAAGAAATTGCTCAGTTTAAACCCCAGTTAATATTTACTAATTCATTAATTATTTTAAATGTCATTTTTCACACGGTTGACACATTTTTGCATGTGCAGCTCACTTTCTCTTCTGAATAACGGCTGCAAGTTTGTGCTATCTTAGAAAATAAGTGTACCAAATGATCACTCTGATCTGACCTACAACTGGCTCCAAATTATATGGTTCTTTCCAAGAAACTTCTTAATAAATTACTTGGACATAAACTGAATTTACAAACAGGTAAAATTAAGTGAAGACAATCAATCATGAGAAAGTGGAAAATACACAATTGTTTTTAAGGTAAAGTTAATACGAAAGGTACAGTAGAATGCACAGTAATCAGAAAAACACTGAAACCTAGACGTGCTCACCACTAAGTGATCTCTACAGAACTCCAAGCCGATGTCTCCCAGAACCTTCTTGACATTTTTCCTGGCTTTCCTCAGACTGGCCAGGTTATTGACAGGGAGCTGGAACATTCTGTCCACCTGCACCAAACAAACACATACAGCATGTGATCAGTGGGTGTAGGGGTCAGATTTATACAGGTGAACAGTCCACAGAGCAGGGACGCAGGCTAAAACAATCCTCTGTTAAAACAGCACAGGAGACATGTGGGTTCCACTGAGACAATAGAAAAACAATGCAGAAGTCCAGTTTGAGCAACAGATTGTGAATGAAGATTTATTAGGTGACAAAAGACTGCACAACGGTTTGTAATGCTCACACACTGAAGATCACAGCTCTGCAATATTATCATAGCAGCAACTTTTTAACTTGTGACAATCATGAGTCAAACAGCCGAAAAAAACCTTTTCATTATAAAGTATTTCTGGTTAAATAATTTGCCAGAACTGGATGCTTACATGGATTTGATTGAGCCTGGTTCAATGTTTTGAGCAGCGTGTTTTCCCACAGCCCTCTGTTGTTGCACCACTGCTGTGCTGATTGACTGCCTCCATTCACATACATGAGAAGGGTGTTGTCTTTTTTACCCAAAGCTCAAACTGGTCTGAAGGCAGCCTTATTTTGAAAGGTACATGGAGAGAAACGTACTACCATAAGTTCGTCACAGCACACATTCTGACTTGTCATGGCAGGAAGAGCACAGGTGTTAGTAATGACATTTATAATGGCTGTTCAATTCAAGTGCCTCCGTAAGCTTTGACAGTGTGACAGCGAGCCAGCATGAACAATACCAGGACCCTGACAGTGAAGGTACACTATGGCGTTTCTGACCTCTAGTAACCCCATGGAGCATGGTCCACAGTTTGGTTATTTTGTCCATGTGCATGCACATGCACATAGGTGAGGTGATACACATTCCTGCCAATGGTTTTTCCACTATTGGCTGACATGGTGTGGTAAGATATACAAGTCATAGCTCAACACACCTTTACATAATTGGGCGCTGAGGATACACAGCAATGTGCCAGTAAAGGCAGGGTATAAGAGATGCCTGGCTTGTAACAAAGATGTAAACAATCCAGGTTTTAAATTATTTTAAAACATTTGGCTTTACATTGCAGGGCAACTTAATCTGTGAAGATGCAGGCCAGTGCTCTGCTCTGCTTTGACCTGGCAAAGCCTCATTTAGCTGTATGGAGCAGAAAGACACGTTGCTCGCAGAAAAACAGACCCACTGGTTCAATTCAAAACACAGCTGATGCGCCATCCATCCATACGTTGTGTTATTATCAGTAACACCATGTTCGGCATTAGTAAAGCCACTTGCCAGAAGAAAAAAGCCTGTTTAATTCACCGTCTGAAGTGGCTGGCCCAATGTCTCTATTCAACCCATGGCTGATTACTGTGAGGTCAAAGGTCACCGAGGCAGTTCAGTGACAACAAACAGCACAGTCCCAAACAACACTTCAGCCTTTTTCCCTCCTAGAAAGGCCAAAACAAAGAGGTGGAACCATGTGTGTGTAGTTCCACCAACTGTCGGCTTAGAAGCGAGCCGAGAGAACTGGAGACACTTCTGCTGCTCTGCCTGTCTGTCTCACATCCAGAAATATGCAACGAGACATATACTCCTGCCCACTTCCTCTCTCTGTCTCTCCTCCCTGCTTCCTCCCATTACTTGTAGAATCCAAATTTATTTACAAAAAAAATATAACATTCCTTGCAATTTCATCCTTGTGAAAAGCCCAGATGGGATTGTTTTGTTCAGGACAGGTTTAGGTCTCAAGTAGTAAACTCAACTGAGCGGCATTTTGTGGAGGGGGAAGGGAGGAGGAGGGAAGGAGGGAGGAAGGGGAGGGACAGAAGGAGCAAGAGAGAGGATGAGGTGGGGGTGAGGAAGAGGAGGGAGTGAGAGGGAGGAGGAGCAAGTAAGCAAGTGAGGGTAGAAGGAGTGTGGGGGAGTGATGAGAGGAAAGGAGAGGACAGAGTGAGCTACGGAAGTGGAAGGGGGTGGGGAGGCAGGGAGGTCGGTCAGGCCCAGAGGAGAAGGAGGGTGAGGGAGGAGGGGAAGAGGCTTAGGGGGGAGAGAGAAAATGGATGAGGGTGAGAGAAAGAGGGGGCGATGGATAGGCACAAACAGGGAGGGGGTGGGAGGAAAAGGAGAGGGAGAAAAGCCAAGCAGAGAGCTGAGCAGGAGGGAAGGGAGGGAGAGAAGCAAGAGGAGAGGGAGGTGAGGCGAGAGGAGGCTGCTCTGCTCTGCTGAGGGCTGCTGGCAGAAAGCAGGTCTCCCCCTTCTACTGTAGTGTGAGAAAGAAACAAGGCTCACAAACCTTCAGACACAGACCTCCTCACACTCACTCAGTCCTCCACTACTGCCGTTTACACTCCTCCATATGCTTACAGAGGGGAGAAGCTTCGGGTGACATCCACACTCACCAACATCCCAAAAATAATTTGTGCTTAAAATGCACAGGATAACTGTGCCACTGGGCTGAACACCAGTATGCAGCCCTTAATAAAAAGGTGGAGGGCTGTGTACATGTGTGAGTATGTGGTTGATGCTAGTGACCATGATCATCACCTGACCTGTCCTGATCAGGTGACAGCCCTCCACCCCCTCTTTCCACTGGATCAAACACGAGGTATGAGTGCATCACAACCATGGTTGTCACCTGGCTGAACCCTGATCATCTTTGAGGGTTTGGCTATATAAAGAAAAACTTGCAAAGGTTAATTAAACAAACTGTTAAATGAACTCCATGCCACAATGTGACTGTGATTATATATTAATTTCGTGTATTCCCAATTCATAACTCAGTACAGTAATGCAGGTACTTCCAATATTCGCAAAATTTCTCTCGTTCAAAACTGGTGGTGCGGTGTGGTAACGCTCTTGTCAGTTCATCTAATATCTGATCAGGAGCCGGCAGTCCCCAGATCGATAGCTTTGGCAGGGAGCTGCTACCACTGACAAAGGGGGCACACCGCGCTAAGTTAGCATGCTAAGCTAGGCCAACTCGCACCAACAACACGAGCTATTCAAAAACTAACACTGTTGTGTCTCTCCTTACTTTTCCACAGATCACATTCGTCTGCGTTTATCTAGGTTATTGCAAACAAACCTATCGGAGAAGTCATTCAACTTGCGGTTATGTTGAATCCACCTGACTAACGTTAGCTAGATCGACAGCCAAGTTACCTTAGCTGTAGTTCACCGCATCACCGCAGGTAGCCACAGCTAACAAGCAAACTATCCCAGTTAAGGGTTATTATGTACAACATTATGACAGCCAAGTTTACCTGCTTTCACATGCAGTGCTCCCGTCTGAGTGAAATGTGTCTCCTCAGGATGACTGAGGTGATGTACAGACACTTTCACTTCTTGTAGACAGCTCGGTGATATCCTTCCAGGTGACAACTAGCTTCGTGGGAGGGAATCAGCCACCCGGCCGTCTGTCTACCCTCCAAACACGACTGTCCCTCGCTACAACGAGGGCTATCCTCCTTGCTCTGATCGGCAAACGGGAACAGAAAGCCTCGGAGCCTCATGAGACAATTAAAGCCTCCATGCCCTGGAACAGTGAGGGCGGACACATGCCCCCTTTCGCAAACAACTACCGGCGTCCCCGCTCTTTCAGATATATTGCCTAGGTCTGCCTATGATTGCTTGGCAGCCGATAACGCTTTTCCCATTCTCTGACGGACAATACACATCCAGCCTAGAAACTGCCCTATCCAAAATGGCGCAAATAAAAGGGGCGGAAGTGACATCTACTTGATTAACATAAATAATCTCATTGTGAGATCCTTGCGAGTCCAGCTCATTAAAACTCCTAATTGGTTTGTCAATCAATTTGATCAATTAAGCAAATGTTTGTCCAAAAATGCTCATCTCGCCCCTCACAGTCTGCAGCCTTTCCCTGTGGGGTAAACAACCAGGCGCAGTAGTTGCGTGATCTGGCCGACAGCGGGCGTCCTTCTGAAGCGGGTTGCTCCGCGGTCAGGATACATCTGGCGTTACCCCTTCACTGCGGAGGGTCGGACGGACAGTGCCTCAGCACTCAGCTGGGGTGGCGCTGTACTGAGTTGTGTAGTATCTGCCCGGTTGTACCAAACCGACCGGGACTACTTTCCAGTACAGTGCCTGGTGAAAGGCTTCCCAGGGAACACCACTGTAAATATCCGCACTTAATACCCTTTGACACTGCCTTTAACCTATGGTAAAATGTCTTCGTCAGATGGGGTTAATTCTTACCCTTCTACCCCCACTCCCATCATTATCATCATCAAAGTGAGCCACCCCATTCCTGCCACTTAACGAATCTTGTATAATGCCAGAATACTACCTTGCTGATATGCAACTCTTGATTCATCAGATGGTGTTTTCATGATTTGTATTCCATAACAAATTTCCAAATAAATAGATGCACAAGAACAAAACAGACTAGTCCTAGAGCATTTGGGGCCTCCGGTGGTCTGAGACCATGGCGAAGTGATCCACCTGATAATCCAGCCCTGACACTTTAATTAGTGTAAGAATAAAAGTGGGATGTTAAATATCTATACGATTTATATATTTTTTCTTTATATTCATCCTGTTGTGACCCCTGACATTTCCATTAGTGTTGTGTCAGAGATGTAAAAGCTGGTATCTGTTGACTACTGCCGTCTCAGCATCGTACACTGGGAAAGACCAGGAGATGTTAACAGCTCCAAACAAAGCTAGTAGCTGGACCCTGAGTTCATTTTTTCTGTCAGACTGCTGTTATAAGTCAGGAATGGCTTTGACTTCCACGTTCCACTACACATCTTCTTTTGCTGGTGGGCAAGCCTCTGGGGAGCCAGGACTTTTGACTGTAATTCTGATAAGTTACATGAGTGGTAGACATTATCATCATCCAGGATGGACTAAAGGTTTTTCTTGCACGTGGTTGAAGGTTAAAATCTTTTCTTTTCACTGTTGACCTGTCTGTTACCTGACACTTGTTTCAGGTTTACCTTTGATCAGTGAATATCATTCAGAAAAGCTGGTTGCTCTCTGCAACTCAGTTTAGGTTTAGACTCTATACAAAAAAGGACAAGAAAACCAGAGCTGGCAATACAAACAGTTTAATGTCATACAAACAATCTCAAGTGTAGCAGTTAGTCACACACTATAAACCCTTCTGACAACTGTATTAATACAGAGTTCAGTGACTTCTGGATTGTGAATGATGAGATACTGTGTGTTGTGTTCAAAATTCTTTATAGAGGATGATGGGAATGTAAAGCACTGTATTTCTTCAGTATTCTGGATGGCCACTGTCAGGGAGTTAGTTTATATTTACTGCTAACAGGGGGAAGGGGGGGGAGACCATTTCCCTTGTCATTTGCTGTTATGTCACTGTCCGACCATAGACAAGCAGAGCTTTCCCCCTCATTACAAGCCTGATATAACTTCTGTTTATACAGCAACCTGGAGGGTGAAAGGAACACTATACGACTGTGGCGTGTCCAAACTGAGGGCATCAGTAATCATGTCGTGGCGAAGAGTGTGAGCAGTCCTTTCACAAACGAAACTATCTCATTTCCTCCCAGTTTGGACTCTCCATAAACTCGATCCACAAATGAAATGGGTACCTGTGGTTTAAGAGAAGAAAAGCAAACTGTTGCTGAATTTGGTGATTCAGAACTCAGGGAGAAAGTTAAGATAAACTTCAGTGATGTAATGTTCTTTAACCAACAACATTAATATAGGTCTTTCTGAATTAGACATAGCCCCACAAATCTGAAATTGGCTGTTTACTTGATGCAGAAAAAGCAGTAAAATGTTTTTTGTTTCACAAATGTAAAAGTGGGTTTAACTGTGTCTAAGGCTTTTTGCCATGCATCATCAAGTTTCCTCCAAATCAGAAGCTGCAACTCAAAAGGTAACTTCATTGTCAATGCAGGGTCCACGTTATGGAAATAATTTATCTGAAAACCGTATGAACCCTGTAAAAAATGACCCCAAAAAACAAACAGATCAATTGATCAGTCAGTCAACTGATTAGGGCGTCACCTCTCCAACTGTGTAGTTGAGCTGTCTGGCACGGACAATCATCTCCATCTGAAAGACGTAGCCTTTAGACACACACCGCTCGACTAGATTCTCCAACACCTTCTTCTTGTACAGCCTGACACGAGTAACAACAAAGAGCACAAGTGTGAGAAAATATTCACATATCTCTCAAAAGTCAGTGGCACTTATTTCACAGTATGTGCACCATTTACCTGAAGCTGCCTGTGAGATCTGAAGCACCAGGTCTCAACAACACTTGAGTCAAAAAGTTGGCTCCCCGACTGTGAACAAGCAACAGAAGAAAAAAAAAAATCTCTGTCTGTTGTAATCACAGGGTCAGTGCAAGACGGCTGAGTGGAAACTTAAGAGACTGTATTGTTGTTGACTTGCAGTCACCTGATGAGTTTCCTGCGCAGGTCCCAGCCGTACACGCCTCCGTTCCCTTGGTATCGAGTACCAGATACCAGGTCATAATTACCTTCCTTCTGCTTTCTGACAAGAAAAAAAAAACTTTTATCTTAAGGATATGTGAACAATTTCATTTCCAGTTGTGCTAAAATATTGTAAACTAATATTATTCAAATGTTCAAAAAAATAATTTTTTACTGTGTATATGAGCTGAAAAAAAAAATTAAAATACAAAGACAAGATGTGAAATGTAGATAAAGAGACACTTACTCAATAAATTCTGGGATAAATTTGGGCTGGAAAAAAAACAGACAAACAGATCAGGTGAACTCAAGCCTCAGATCCAAGTTTGGCACCACCTTTAATGCAATTCAGACATCAGTTATAGAATTAGCTAAAGCTGAAATGATTATCTGACTAGGTTCAGCAACTATTCTGATGTTTAACTGTTTTTAACTATGGCTCCAGCTTTCTGAATGTGAAGATTTGCTTATTTTTTATGTGACAGTAACCTAAATATACTTTAGGGTTTCAGATGATGCCCTTCACACAAAACAAGCAAAATGAAGAGACATTTTACAGACCAAACAATCAATGGATTAATCAAAAACACAACTGGCAAAGTAATGATAATAAGTGCTATATGACCATCCACTTCTTCTAAGCCAGGACAGGTCACACACCCTGTGAGAGTGAACTTACTGTTTACACACAATGAAACAAGCTCCACTCACATGATGTGAAAGATCTGCATCCATGATGATGATGAAGTTCCCAGTTGCATGCTTCATGCCATGGATGTAGGCAGTGCCTTTGGAAGGAAGCAGGAGATGATCAGAAGTTGGAAAAGGTTAGCAGAACAAATACACCACTTTTCACACAGTTTCACACTCACCTAGACCCAACTTTTTCTCTCTAGGCCGTAGAAGCTGAAACACAGAACAGAGAACAAATGTGTGCACAAAGACCCCAAGCACTACTCACTTACTAGAATCAGGTGTTACATAGGCATGGTAGATGTCTACCAAGATCATACCCAAACTATCAGCTGTTGTCTCTAAGTCATTTTAAAGAACTCCATTAATATATTGTAGCAATGGGGTGGAGCAGCACTCGGCGGGGTCCGCCAGCATGCCTGCTGGGGCAGAAACCAAGGTTTCTGTTCATAGGGTCTGGTGGTGTTTATGGGCTTTGGCGTTTACATAAATAATTGGTGTGTGTGTGTATGTGTGTTCAGTTTTGTCTGACTACTTTTTTAAAAATTGTTATCATTGTAAGCACATTGAGATCATAAAGCATTGTATATAAATTAAATGTATTATTATTTTGTTCTTCTGAAAGAAGGGCAGGGGTTAACACTGATTTATAACTTACTATTTTATCCTCTCCATAAATTTTCTGCAACTGCTCTGCCACCTCCAATGTCCCATCTGGGCTTCCGTCGTCAATGACAATAATCTCGTAGTTATAGCCACTGTAAATGCAAAATAAAGGATGAAACATCTTTTGACACACATACATACACTAGTCTACTGGCACATTAAACGTTACAAAAGTCGGCTAACTAGAACATAACCAGTTTCCACTGTAGCCGAGATGTCATTTGTTCCCTCTGGTGTAGTGACAGCTCAGCACTGGCAGGCTTGATCACAGCAGTAACGTTAGCTGCTAGCTTGGCAGCTACGCCAGCTTCCCTGAACTCACCTTTGACCGAAATATTTCACCAAAAGCCACACTATCAAAGGCAGGTTTTCCCTTTCGTTGTAGGTAGGTAATAAAACAGAATATTTGTCCCCACTATTCCGATTTGGGTACAAACTTTTTTTGCTTGCCATGGCGCTGTGAATCTACTTTAGCTCCACTGCGCAAAGGTGAAAAAGAGCCTCACAACATCCTGTTTTTATTTTCAAAATAAAGTATTAGACTGATCACTTGAAAACGAAATCAATGCCCAGTGGCATTAAAACTTATTTAACTGTTGTGGAAAAAGTCCTTAGATCTTTTACTTAAATCTAAGCAATATAAGTTGGAGGGGTACAACTAATTATTATTATTAATATTAATAACTACATTTCCAAGCAAATATAACAGGGTCTTATTTGTCAGCTCTGCTATTGTGCTTTGCTCCCAGACTCATCCACCCCATTGGTCTGCTGTTCATGACACCTAAATATTTCCCGGTTGTTACCTGTCTCATTTTTAGTAACAATACTGAGTAAGAAATTAGTCTGTCACTTCTGTTCCCCATATTTCTATGTTTGAACAGAAAAATATTGTGAAAGGAAACCCATAAGGGTGCTTAAAGACTTTCTACATTATCTGATAAATAGTAAATATGGGATAGCACATTTATTTGAGCTCTACTCCCCCTTCCCTGACACTCTGCTGCCTACAGGCCTTCTGTTGTTATTCCAGCTTCCTTTCTCTGTGTTTTCAAATTATGGCATGGAAGCCTGCCCCATCTGACACCTAGCAAAGGTTGTAAGAAGTGTTTTTTGAATACAGAGTACTCATTTCAAACATGTAATCAGCTCGTCTGCTAAAATTCTGAAGCAGTGCCTGCCAGACCAAAGAGGCATTTTTCTGTTTCTTTAAAATTTGAATCTGTATCATGAATAATGCAGTGAAGCCTAATGATTACAACAACATGAAATAGAAAGTCACTTTCCCCATTTTAGGGGTCACCACAGCAAATTGTCACATTTGACACATGTTTTACACCAGATGCCCTTCTTGACACAACCCTGATTTGAACCTGGGCTGCAGTGGCAAGAGTGCTGCTCCTTAACCACTAGCATACCAGGGATGGCTATGGAGCCATATAGTTTTCAATGTGAGGCAAAGACCTAAAGACAGATGTTGTTATAAAAATACAGGGAAACCATGGACACACATGACCTCTAAAGAGTCTTGTTACCTGAAACCCTTTACATTTTTTTTAATAATCACACCATTACAAAGTTATCTATAATTCAGGAACTTAAGGTGAGTCTTGAAGACTGTCCTCCCAGGTCTCCAGCCAATTTCTAAACCACTCTTTTATATAATGATGGATAGGAGACCAAAGCTTATAGTGTTGATTGTCTGATAAATAGTAAACATGGGGCAGGACAATTCTCTTGGCTATACTTCCCTCTTCACGACACTCTGCTGCCTAAAGACCTTCTGTTGGTATTCCAGCTTCTCTACCTTCTGTTTTGATGCAGTGAAACCATGGCCTCTAAAGAGTTTTGTTATCAACACTGGTTGCCCTTTTATATGAACTGAATTATGGGATGATGTCCCAGTAGTATTGTTAGCTTCTAACCTTTTTGTTAGAAATTAACCCAATTCTTTTGTTGGAAGCACGAGAAGTGACGACAGGAGAGGACTCTTTAAAATCAGCAGAAAGTTTACTGAATGTCTGATCACAGGTAGGCCTTACAGTGCTGGGATCAGAGAGACAGAGCTCCCGCAGGAGTTCCATCCACTGACCTCGAATTAAGGTCTTACAATACATTTTATTTTCTTGGGCTTGTGTGTGTGATGCTAATTTGTATGTTAAATGTAGGTGTGGGTGCAAAACAAGCCAACTTGTCTTTGTTAAAATGTGAATTGGCTGTCTGGTCACAAAGAGATGCAGACATCTAGTCTCTACACAGAACTTACAGCATTCAAAGTAATCAGATTCTGCTTCATTACAGCTGTAAGATATATAAGCAAGGGAAACAAATGTATTAAAATAACCAAAGCTCAGTAGTTCTGGACAATCATCAATACACCTGTAATATGCATAAAGAAGTAAGATAACGTTATGAAGGGTAACTAAAAGGAACTACAGGTATGAGAAGTAACTAAAGCTGATAAACTAACTAGAGTCTATAAGACTCAAATCTTACAGTATGGTCTGCCTGGTGCTATGTTGCTGCTCTGCTGAAGAGGATGATCTGTGACAGTGCCTTCAACTGAGTGCAAATGTTTGTGCTGCAAGTGGACTCATAAGCTACATTTTAGGAACTTACAGAAACGAGTGGAAAAAATATTTTTTAATTTTGATCTCTGTAGCTTCCATATGGATGTAACTTGGTATGTAAGAGACAGGCCAGATCAACTCTGTGTGGAACACATGCGCTGGTAACAAATATCTTAAAAACAGTATTTAATTAAAAGAATTTGGTATGATTAGATTTTTTTTTGCACAACATAGCTACAGTACGTGAGCAGGGCTTCATTGTTATGTTAATGAATCCTTATAAGCCACAGAATACAATATACAAACATTGTAGTAACACTGAGTCTGTGCCCTGCTCAGTCACACACGATTTATCATTCACAATTCATTATTATTTAAAATAATGGCACCTTCTTTTCATATAGTGTGAACCTTCTTGAAAGGAATTATTCACAAATATGACAAACTCTCACTACAAAAAACAAAAAAAAAAAAGAACAAAGAAATTGAATTTCATGCTGATGTACTCTAAAATATCACAAATAATGACAAAAGCTAATGATAGTTCACAAAGAAGAAGACAGCAACAACCCACTCTTTGCAACTGTAAAACTGTAACCAGCAAATTGGTTTGGTATTGGCACTTGCATTTTTAAATGGCCACATTCAGTATGTCAACTATACATAAATATTAGCATTACATTGAGGACCTCACAAGCTTTTATTTTGAAAAATGTATCGACATTTGTAACAAAACTAGAAAATGGGCGTATCACTGACACTAACCTGACAAAGTTCTTCCCTTATTGGTTACAGCCTGGAACCTCCAGTGTCATCTTCAAATACAAACTACAGGAAGCATTCCTCTCTTCAACATGGTTCCGACAAAGGACTATTTCATAATTGGTTCCTGACAGCCAGTTAGTTTTCTCGTTCTGAAAGCTGAAGTCAAGTTTAGCTAAAGAACAGCAGCTCTGGGGCCTGTGTAGACTGATGAAGATCACTTCAGGAGAGGACAAGCGTGAGCCCTTAATCCTCCATCAGGATAAGTGTTTCACAGCACTACTCTGTCATATCACTAGTCAAAGATGTTTTGAAACAATAACCAGCACACATCATTAGACAAATATTAATGGAATTTTATTAACAAAATTTTATTAACTACACAAAACTGACTCTCTCTTTCTCTCTCCCCCTCTCTCTCTCTCACACACACACACACAAACAAACACATACACCATGTAATGCGTCTTACCCAAACCCCAGGAAATCAGAAAATGTAAACATGAATTTTCATGACAACAGACAGTCTCACAGTATCACTTATACCATGGAACAAAAAAAAAAGCTTTTACACCATGGATTATGCATTTTCCTTATCCTTGAGGCAGTTAAGGTTAGCATTAGTAACACACAGTTTCAGTGTGAATAATAGTGTATAAAATGAGATTTTACTAGTCCCAGCAGGAAAATATTTTTCTTTATGATAATATCTGTTCATCACAACACTATTCTACATCAGAAAGCTTTCTATTTATTCTTAATTTATTTCTTTGCTGATTTTTTTATACATAACAAAACAGAGTAACCATTGGACAGAAAGAGGTCCTTCTTCTAGTGTTTTGATGTTTCATGAAGCTTCCGCATCAGTCAGTGGCAAGTTCAACGTACCAAGTCTCTTCAGTGGAGCTTTTTTAAAGCTCCATTCTCAGCCTGTCATTCGGCTCCAAAGGAACCACAGTCTTTTCAAACAGACCTCAGTCACCTTAGTAATGCTGCCTGCTTGTTCAAATCCACTCAAGGTTGGTAGCCATAATAAGGGTCTTCTGAAGAGAGCACACACAAAAAGAGTCAGTGCACCAGCTCCACACTGTATTTGGCTGTGTTGGCAATCAATTAATGACACAAAGTATATAACCACAGGTGGCAATTAATATAGCATGGAATTATTCAAATTTATAAAAATAATGTTCTCCCTGCCTTCCAGCAAACACCACATAATACCAATAAGTACGTTTTCAACTGCTCAGATTAACTGCATTAAAGCCGCCTTAATTTTAAAGATGCTATAATCAATCATCTCATATTATCAATAGGTGAAATGACTGAGTAATGTAACAGTGATCACTTGAAGTGACAAACCCAAAAAAATCTATCATCTGACTTTGCAGTTCCCCCTTGAGTATTTTTTGTATCTTTTAGGGCATTGTTCTGGCTTGATGACATTCAGATGAATTGGTTTTGTCCAGTCTCACAGAGACAAACAAACACAGGTAGCGACTAGCTGGTGAATAAGGTAAAATATTTAGCCTCTAAAAAAACAGATATTTCCCTCAGGATTTGGTGGAGGCCAAAAACTGAGCTAAAAGACAATGAATAGTAGAGCTGCATTCACTGGGTGGACACAAACACAAGGCCAGTGAATGATAATGCTGCTCCGTGTCTGCTAGATTTCCAATTAAGGTAGGTAGGTAGGTAGGTACTTTATTGATCCCTCAATGGGGAAATTTCAGTGTTTCAGCAGCAATGGAGAACAAACAACATAACACCATGAGAAACAAACACCACACACATATCTTGATATAACAAATTTCAGTACCTCAAGCAGCAATAGAGAACAGACAGCATAACACCATGAGAACAAGCACCGCACACACATAAGACATTGACTGAGGATACTAAGTGAGTGTTGTGTTTACAGTTTGTAATCTTCAGAATAACAAAAACTGTTGCCTGCCTCTAAGGCAGAGAAAGCAATAACTAATCTAAGAATAATAAATGCTATAATTCTTTCACAACCACATTATGCCTTGCTTTTATTTACACTCCAGTTTTCTCATAGAAAATGTCATTAACCTGGAATTCAACCTGTATCAATATATTTTAACCACCCAGTGGTTATACCTTCTCTGCAGGACACACCAGTGCCAGGATCATTGCATCTTGATATTCCGAGCCTGTGTGTCAGTCTTAGTAACTAACCTGTTTGCTGGGGGATTCTGTGGCAGCCTCCGCTGCTGTCACACACACCCGGTGGTCCAACCTCTCCTGGCTGTCCTGGAGGGCCGTGGATCCCTGGGGATCCTGGCTTGCCGTCTTCTCCTTTGGAACCTGGGGCTCCCAGCTTGGATTCACCTGGAGGACCTGCAGACACACACAGTACATAATGACAGACATGCATCACAGCCAGATTTACAGTATTATGATGTTAAAAAGTAAAATAGAGTGGGTGGCATGGCTTTTAGATTTCTGTAGCATCCTTTCTGTGCATCTGATTTATTAGTCTCCACATACACAAAACCCTAGAAACCATTAATGTTCCAGCACAGATAAGACAACCAATGACTCCTAGAGAGGTACCTGCAAATCCTTTGACCCCTGTGGGCCCCTGGACATTGGTCCCTGCATCACCTTTCTCTCCGGGCAAACCTCTCCTTCCTGCAGAGAAGAAAGATACAAATTGTCAAAGTGTAAAGCTTATAATATTATCATAATGGAGCCTAAAATGAGAAGAAGGCAGCATTTTCATAATGTATAAAGGTCAGATCTATGTACAACAGGTGGCTGACACAGTGGAGAATTTAGTTGGCGCCAGCTACTACATGGAGTCTTACCCTGTTCTCCTGGATAACCGGGCCTGCCAGGTTTCCCCCTTGGACCAACATGCCCCTGGGTGCCCCTGGCGCCTGGTGGGCCCTTAGTCCCTGGTATGCCGGGTTCCCCGGGGGGCCCCACCGGCTCCTCGATAGGAGCTGGCTTACGACTTATCTCATTAATAAACATGTCAAGCTTTAACACCTCATCTGAAAAGTGCGAGAATGTGCATCAAGACTTTATTTTTAAAGTTATAGTGCATGAGACAACTGCAGAAATCATTGTTTTCAAAGGCTGCAAACAGAGTTCTTACTGTGCACAAGCTGCTCACAGGCCTGTGTGACTAGTTGATAAATCATAGCCATAGACTGAGGTTCCCCCTGTAAAACATCAGCAGATTCACCAAACCCAGTGTATCAGTTTGACATTTAATACATAAAAAGCACAGAAAATTTTGGTGACAACTTTATGTAAAGCTACTGTATAACCCACTTTCTCTCCCCGTTCCCCTTTACTCCCTGGCAGACCCTGTAAAGTGAAAGACATAAATGCATAAATATAAATAATTCAGTGTCAAGACAGATGTGACTAATGTTGTTCTTCTGGTCTTACTGTAGGCCCCACAGGTCCTGAGGGACCCCTTTCCCCTGCAGACCCTGGATGTCCTGGCATTCCTTGGAAACCCTGTACAGTATAAAGAGATAGATCAGTATAAATATATAAATGACTACACAGAGAAACAAGACTTATTCCAGAGGCAATTATGAGCACACACTGGTGAATCATACTGTGAGGTGTTAGAACAGGGCAAGGCAGAGACAGGCAGAGTTGTAAACCTTCCATTGGGAGGGAGATGTGAGGATCAGCTATGTCAAATACCCCCTGGAAATGACTAAACTTGGCATACCTAAATTATAAAAGCATTACCAGCAGCTGGGCTACATGCAAGGTTTGCTGCTGTGTGGAAAGCAAAGGAACCATACTTTAAAATCTGTTAATAAGTTGAACATTTTCGTCCTGAGGGTGGTGCCAGAGGAAAACTTGTAACATGTCCAAAATGAAAAAGGTCAATTCTCAGTCAATTTAAAATGTGTGCTCTGACAGAGTTATTAGACAAGTGGCCAGGTGTCGCCATAAATGTTCATTCTCTGAAGACAACAAATAGCCACAGGAGATTTCATTAAATAAGGTGAGATTTTGACGGTAGCAACAAAACTGCAAACATGACAAAATTCCATCCAGGGATGAAAACCAAAGTCATTCTTACCCTGGGTCCAGTGATGCCGGGTGCACCAGTGTTACCTTCGACACCCCTAATACCCTGTGAAACACAACGCAGAGAGATGAGGACAGAAACAGAGGAAGACACAATCATTACTTCAGCTCAGCTAACATTTACTGCTGGGATAAAACCGCTCACCTGGGGACCTGGGTTCCCTTCTTTCCCTTTTGGACCTGGGGGGCCTGGTGAACCCTACAGGGGAGAGACAACAAGGTGGATGGAGAGAGCGTGATAGGAAACAGATGTGATAAGGTTGTACACAGAAATAAATACTTGTTCTAAATTTTAGTGACCCTACTACTCCAGTTTAAATTCACCTGGACTCCTGGGTGCCCAGGATCTCCCTTTTCCCCCCTTGCACCTGGTGGACCCTAAAAGGAAAATGTAACATAATGGAGTTGTAATTCCTTAGACAACAGATAGACCATGGTTAGAACTACTGTATTCACAGATACGTGTTTAAGGCTGCAGAGAATACCCACCACTTTGCCCTGCACAGTTATACCTCGGGGGCCTACGCTGCCCAGGGGTCCAAGACCTCCATCAAGTCCAGGCTTTCCTGGAGGACCCACCTCCCCCTGACACACAGAGAAAACTAACTTAAAGACATCAGTTTGGTGCTCCAACACATAATTCCAAATAAAACGTCCACTGTAATTTGAAAATGCTAGAGTGACTCAGCTAACCTGTAAACTACTCTTAGATTAATGCATACACACTTATTTTTAAAATACTAACAGGTTTAAGGTGAAACAGCTGTGTGTTTATGTTTATAGCTGGTTAAATGCTCTGTGATTAATGCTGACTGAAAAATGTCAGGTTCCCTCGGCTTTACAGTTTTAGCTCACTGCTTATCCGTCTGGCCTTCACGGTGTGGTTCTATTGTAGTGATGTTTTCAGCCACAGCAGGTACAGACAGGTGACAAATTATTAAAGGAAAAACCCAAACAAATGAGTGGTCTCTTCCAGGATGGCAGTGCCCCCATCTGCAGGACAGGTGGGGTCACTGAATGGTTTGATGAGCATGAAACAGGTGTGAATTATATGCTGTGGCCATCACAGCCACCAGATCTCAACCCAGGTGAAAACCTTTGGGAGATGTTGGACAGATGTGCCACAGCGCTCTCCATCACCAGGGGCGGATGTAGAAAATTTTGGACATGGCAGCCAAGCTGGGGCACAGCCTCAAAGAAGGCTGGTACATTTGAAATGCATGTTAAAAAGTAAACTGAACTCTCCATTAGAGTTCAGAGACTTGGAGTCAGTGCCAAGGAGCACTGAAGCTGTTCTAGTGGCACATGGTGACACTTTGTATTGAGTTTTCCTTTCAATTGTCACCCTACTGGTGCTACCTGCTCAGCACCAAATGTCAGTCAGACACAGAGGCTATCTGGTGAACACAGTGGAACATTTACCAGAATTTGATATAGACCAAAAACTGAGCTAAAAGACTCAATACTGAACTTACTGGTCTACTGTAAATAAGGAACTGTTTGTTGACAAGTAACTTAGCTGGAAGTTAAAGGACAAAGTTAAATTGCTATACCATAAATGTAACTAAATTCTGTAAAATCATGATTGAGCTTTAAGAGCCAGAATAATCACACTAATGTCACCTTTTGGCCTTGCTCTCCCTTTTCGCCTTTTTCACCACGAGGACCTGGTTTTCCCTGGAAAAAAAAGAGAAAATGTCAACATATCATTGAACAACTGGATTAAACAAAAAATAACTCAGCAAGTACTCTGGGTCTATTTGAGGTGACATACAATTGCTCCAGGGGAACCAGGAGCTCCAGGGACATCGGAGGAACAGGTACAGGTGTATGCTGGGGCAGGACAGCTCTCCTCATCTCTCTGGCACATCCCGGCATTAACAATAAAGATATTAAGTCAGCTACTAGAAAATTCACCATGCTCTACTAAGGTAGCTCTCATCACTGCATAACCAATACAAAAGAGTGATGACAGCAACATGAAGTGAAGAAATGTACAGGATAACATTTTAAGTATGAGTCACTTTCACACATCTCACTGTTTGTATAACAAACATTTTGAAGACATCTTTTTATTCCACAATAGGCCATCAAGAACTAAGCAATGAAAAATTCAAAGTAAGCACTGAGCTCATTGATAAATGGGTTCAAACACAGTTATCAACTCAACTGGCCTATACCAAAGAGAGGTGCATGTAAATATAAACAGACTAACTACTCCAGGTAGGTCACAGCAGGTGTCCTCGGAAGCCCACGTGGTGTTACAGACGATCTCAAAGGACTGCAGCTGGAGCTGGATACAGAGAAGAACACAGGATGCAGGTGGAGCACAGGGTAGAGTGAGAGACCACCAGGTTGTTTGATACATTCAGGATGTACAGTTTATTGACAGACTTGGCCTGGGTTCAAATCAAAGAAACAGAATAAGATAAAAAAAAAGTACCGAGGCAGATCCACTTTTGGGTCCTCTGGTGTTCACCAGCTTTCCCAGCATCTCAAAACCATCGGTCGGTAGGTTGCCTAGAGGGCGGGCAGGTCTCTCACCCACACGCTGGCAGTCCACGAACAGGGACACACTAACCTGGCTGACCAACAAGTGAACCTGCCAATGGAATGATAGAGGACTGATCCAGGGGAACCACAAGTGATAAAAAAAAGATATCAGTTATCATATGTAGGTCAGACTTCTCCGTCAAAACACCTTATACGTCTATTTTTACAATTATGAGCCTTTGTTTTACTTCAATTTGGGGGATAGTTATGTTCCTATAATTTTCGGGGTTTGGAAGGTTGTAAACAGGAAGTATATTGCTGCCATGAAGTCAGTTCACCTGGACTGCACCTTGAACCCTGTTCACCTATATGTGTTTATATATTGGCAAATCAGCACCATGGAACTACAGTATACAGTATATTAGTAGTTCCTCATAAACATCTATCAAATGACTCGCACTAAAATGTGATTTCGATATCATATGAGAAAAATCAATCAATCAAATTTTATTTGTATAGCGCCAAATCACAACAAAAGTCATCTCAGGACACTTTACAAAATAAGGTCTAGACCTTACTGTTATCACTATTATTACATAAAATAAAAACTTAGTGTTGAATAATTACAAAGAACAGAGTATGTATAACAAAAATGACATGATAAATGACAGCTAACATAACATTTGGTATAGCAAGGTAACAACAAAATGATAAGTTACTAACCTATTGAATATTTTTAAGTCATATTAGAAGTGACATGTTGAATGTGGTACTTTAAGCAGTGAAGTATTTTCAGCTTATTGTGAGTTACTAAAATGCACCTACAGTATGTTCTATGTCTAGAGTGACATACAAATACTGTACAGGGCTTAAAATGATAAATTGTGAAGTGAGTTGGGTTTCTTAAGCCTCAGTAGACATATCAATGGCAATTTCTATGCTGTGTTTATGGACAGTATTATTTATTAGGCTGTTCAGTGACCAGACACGAAGGCCCACAAACAAAGCTTCACCCCCCTCCATCAGTAGGTCTGTCCGGCCCCTGATAACCAGTGGTATTTTGTTGAGTGGTAAAGTTGGGGGTGTCCACCTCTGCGTCTGTATGGTAGTCATCTAAGCCCCTGAAATACTAAAGAAATCTCTCAACTCTTGTTTAATGTAACTGGATTTGTAAGATAAAATTTTGATAATCAGCTTTTACACTGAAAAAGCGAAGAACCTTTCAGAAAAGAGAAGATGCCAGAGAGTGCAGGACGTTCACTTCAGATATGTTGAAGGTGCTCTTTGGAAAAAGGGACCAAAAGAAAAGCACTAATAGAAAAAATAAAAATCCAAGGTACTCTTCTAAAATAGATAAAAAGCCTCATCAAGCGTATTAAAAACAACACATTCAAAAGCGGGTTACAGCCCATGTGTGGTGGCATAAAACTACTTTCTTCAGGGAGTAATCTGCAAAACAGTTTTCTCTTAAGTAGATGTGAAGTAATTGCGAACACCTGAAGACAACAGGAAGCCCACTTCAGCAGCTGAAGTGAGTTTGGTGATTTGCTGTCTTTGGGATGATTAGTTTCCTGTTGTCTTCAGGTGTTCGCAATTACTTCACATCTACTTAAAGGAAAACTGTGTACTGCAGATGACAGCCTGAAGAAGGCAGTTTTATGCTGCTACGTAGGACCCACTTTTGAATATGTACTGTTTTTAATACTTATCATGAAAGCCACTGGAATATAGGCTTTTTATTTATTTACAGAAGAGTACATTTGTTTTTTTTTTCCCTAATGGAGAATTTTTATTTTTACCTTTCACTTCCAGTTCAAAATTGTAGTTATTCCAGTTTGATAAATACGGGCCTTGGACTGTGATTACAGGAGGAGGACTGATAACTTATCACACAATGTAAAGAATTATATGACATTAAAGTTCTGAATGATTAAATATCCACAATTAATATATACATATTTTGAATGTAACTGAATATTATTTTCCCGTACATTATCGTCTTCTGTTTATTTTCCTCGTAATCGTGTGACAACTGCTACAGGCCTGAGCTTATACTGTATGAGTTGTCTTTTTCTAACCACCTCGTTCACCTTTCCGCATAGCTTGACATCCGTTTTATTAAAAATACACAAAGATGAATAAGTAACACGAAAGACAGACATGATTTGAAATCATAGCATTAATGTTTCATTTTCTGCTAAATGACAGAGAAGCTTTCATTGAGGTTTAATCAAGACTCGCTCTGTGTATATTATCTCACCTTGTGGAAACTGCCATAGAAGAGTCTGTGCACCTGGGGCTGGTCAAAGGTCAGTTCCTGCACCTCTCCCCTGTAGTCCAGACTGAAGTACACCAGGTGCTTGGTTGTAGCTGTGTCAAACACAGATACCAAAGACAATATTTGGTAAAAACTTTTATTTCTACATTATGTCTAGCAAAACTGTGGGCCTCTAAAAACGGGACATAGGCTACAGAGTCGGTTTATACCACTCTGATCTGGCTGGGTGTAAAGACAAAGGTGCACAGTCTAGTGTCTCTGCTTTCAGTGTGAGAGGTTGAAAGATGCAGAAATGTTACTCACGGTCGAGCACCACTCCCATTTTGGGCTGGAAGTCATTGTCAGTGAGCTGCCAGAGGGCGAAGGGCTCCCTGGGTGTATCCTGCAACACGCGGAAAGCGGTGCTGATGGTGTGATCTGGAGAGAAACCTGCGGGGTGGATAAACCTGATGGGAGATAGGCACAGGTGGGTCAGTTTACATCAAAACAAAAGGTAGGCTCCATACTTTTTCTTCTGAAAAAAAGTCAGTGCAAACTAAAGATGCAGTGAACATGTTTGCAGAGGTGTGTTGGAGGATTTTGAGCTAGAAGGTCATGTCTGTACAGTAAACTGCACTTCTACTGTTTAATAGCTGGTCAACTGATATGGAAAATACATTAACATAATATTAATATCACTGAATTATTACAGTGTTGTAGATTGGAAAAACTACCCATGGAAACAGGAGTGGTACCAACGATGGCTCTGTGTAATCTGAATGATGGATGAATCATAAAACACTTTGCCTCTACTTTTTCTTCATTAGCAAAAAGACCAAATATTTGTCCTGCATAGTTGTGATTATCAGTCCTAAATCCAGCCTGAGCCTCAAAAGTAACGGACTACTTTACTTCTAACCAGTTAAATCTGCATGAGTGACAGTTTCTCAGTGGTGTTCAAACTGGAGTTGGATACATACCACTTACAAACATATTGCTAATATTATTATTACATGTATTTTTGAATGTGAGCCATCAACACAAAAAGATAAGAGCATTTAGGCCTGTAATGTCAGTGTAGCCTTAGTTAATGTGAGGCTGCGTTTATGAGTATTAGTGCACAGATACAAACTACAATAAAAGAAGAAACAGAAGGTAACTTAAAGTCAGTAAATAAAAGCGAGAGTCTCACTTGGTGCTCTGTGTCAGTTGAACGTCCCTGTACAGAGTGTAGGTGGGGAGGGTATTGAAGACAAAAGGCTCGGCTGCCACGCCCTCCACGGACGAGTGAGCTTTCTGGGTCAGACCAAATGCTTCCATCATGTCAAACCCTGAGACAACATGCACATAACAGCATTTAACACTATTACTGACACCATTTAACAACGGTGCAGATCTGTTAAGACAATGTGGTGACAGTTTCTTTTCTTTTGTTGTTGTTTTTTTTTATTAAATTATTCAAAATGGGCCTTTTATGAGAGAGCCTACAGTTACAAGAGGGGAGAGCTTATCTCACCTTTAACGATGTTGTTTCTGATGGTCACCTCAGGGCACACTGCAACACAAGAGGGCAGTGGTGAATCATTATAAGCAAGGCAAACAAACATCAGCACCCAGGGATATTTTTCAGCATTTTCAGGTCAGAGAAAATTATTATATCCTCAATATGGGCTCAAGGCACATGTAAACAAATGTGCTATTTGACCATGTACCACTTGGTGCATCAAAGAACTGCTTCACATTGTGTGGCAAGGGAGAAAGCATCAAGGAGCAAGAAAGTAATTATTTAAAATATGAGATGAATCCCATTTTCCTTATTTTATCATTCCTGGGATCTCAGTCCTTGTTCAACCCAGAAATCATTCCAGTCTGCCATGATGGAGGATGTCCCAAAGCTCTTATTTCTGCTGTGAAGGGCAAAGACTGAGTACACTTGTTATTTGACCAAAGACCAATTAATATGATCACATCTCGAGTAAGTAAAGGCTGTTCCCGTTAGGGGTCACCACAGCAAATCATCACACTGATGACTTGCATGTTGAAATTTGTCACGTGTTTTACGCCGGATGCCCTTCCTGACGCAACCCTGACTCGAACCTGGGCTGCAGCGGCGAGTTCGCTGAATCCTAGCCACTAGTCCATCAGGGACCCCTCTGGAGTAAGTAATTATATTCAATTCACAAAAGCACTTCTTCACAATATGTGGAGAGAGAGAAAGCAATGAGGAGCAGGAAACACAAAACATTGTTACACAAGTGTTGGAATACATTACTGCTAATTTATCATCTTTCAGTGAGATCATATTGTATTGGTATTAAGATAGTTCATGGTCTGATTCAAACCTGCGTGAACTAAACTGATAGCATGAAAAAATTTTATTTAAATTGACAAACAAAGCATGACTCATTGCACTAGTCCTCAAGATTGCTATGAAATCAAATTCAGCCACTTCTCCAACAGTTACAAATTTTCTCATTGTATTAATGTCTAGAGGATGAACCTGTGAGACTCAACTAGTGACCCACTGGGAATTTCTGAGCTCCACAGTATAAGATATTTGCCCAATTCAGACTGAAATGACACTCCAGAAAGCTTACAAAAATAATTCATATTCTCATGAGACATATTTCTACAGGAAAAGTGATGAGTCACCTTCATTGTGAATCGGATATAGCCGGGGATGAATTGGAATTCTGGCTGGAGCCGTGGCTGCATGAGGAAAAACAACAACAATTATGACACTTTTAACCAACAATAAAAATATCAGGACTCTTAATGATTTTTGTTTAAAGACCATATACTGCATGCTTCTGTCTGCGAAAACAATTACTGGCACAGCTAATGAGTGACTTGGTTACATTTTCTGGAGGCAAGCAGCTTTGGAATTGTTTATTTCCCACATTTTATGTTTAAATAATATATTTAATGAGAAACGTATAAAAAAACAGTTGGTGATGAGCCAGCTTACTTTAATATGTAGTGTACTGTACTGTTATTATTAAGCCACAGATATACTTGTGTTTAACAACTCATCCGTGTGTGCATCATGGCTACCTCACATACCCAGTTCTCCTTGGGAGTGGTGGTTGTGCACATCTTTAATCATACAAGTCTACAAGATTCAATTCAGCATGTGACCAGTGGGGGGAGTAAGTAAGGTCAGCGGTGGGTTTGGATCACTGCAACAATGATGGAAAGTTAATATAAAAGAAAAATTCATAGAGTTTTTCCGGCTGACACACCATGTGCACTGCCACTGCTGCCGCCTTCTCTGCTGTGGTTTCAATATTAGCAAGTGATGTCATGCAATGAATGACAAAATGGAAGTTGAAGTGAAAATATTTTGTTTCCCGTCAGGTATGACTGGGATCTAATCTGCCCCCTAGTGGATATACTTTTTAATCCTTCAGATATACACAAAGTATTCAAAGAAGTATGTGACCAATGACACTGGTGCTGTAGCCACGTCCACGCGTACAGGTTTGTTAAAGATTAAGTATATCTACTGTGAGCATGTCAAACCTGTTGGATGGAGAATGGAGACGGCAGCGCCCTCTGCCGGACCAAAGGGCTGATACGATACAGAGTCTCGGGTTGCAGATCAGTGAAACAGTGACTACTGCTGGAGTCATCGACAGTTTCTTCCTTTGTGTCCTTGTCTGAACACACATAGCCAGGACACACATATATACACACAAATGGGCAAATTAAAAGTGGCTCTAAGACAGCTTTAAGTAAACTAAACAGTCATTTACCATAACTTTTACTAGAGGTCACCTTCGACAGACTGAATGACAATATGGTATCCATCGACAGCAGACACGGGTCTCCAAGACACACAGATGGTGGAGTGGTCTGACCTGACCACACTCAGACTGCTAACCCGCAGACTGGCTGGAGGGATGAACAGAAAAGCAAAAAAAAAAAAATTCAGCTTTACATAAAGAACAGTCCGAGGTGAACTGAAAAGTTAGGCAAGCACATGAATGGACACACAGAGCACCAGATGTTTGACATTACAACCTCATTTTACAGCAGGGTCAGTGTGTATGAAGCCTCTCATAAATGATTTTAAATTTGTTCAGTGAGTTACAAAAGGTCACTTGCAAGTTTACATATTTAGAAAAAGATTCATTTGTCATTTCTATGTGATCTTATAAAATTTTTTTATAGCCCAGCCAATATAACTGTAAATGTGTCTTTCATAGCTGCTATAGATGTGGTTAATGTGACTATAAGGACACATCACACTACTTATTCTAATTGTATTCATGCCAGACAGACAGACAGACAGACAGACAGCGTGACAGACCTTATATCTTTTTATTAACTTAACAAAAAGTTTTCCTAAATATTTGTTTTCTTTCTGGGAAACGGTGTGTCTGGCCTTTGTGCATGTGATGCAGCCATCTACTGGTAGCTCCTAACTGACTTAGGAGACCACTGGACCATCTTTGAGACCAGTTGTTTACATTTAGGGATGTTTAACGCATGGCATGGTCTTAGAATTCTGATACACTTAAGATCACTTAGCATAATTAAAAATAAATCATTTCTACAAACAAAATTGTTGTGTATTTGAGTTGACCAAACAAATTCACCTGTTTATTTTTACTATTCTTCTTTGCTTCTTATGGAAACAGAACAAGTGGTTCTGACATTCCTCCACTTTTCCACAAGTTAATTTACATTAAACTTTGACCCTTCTTTTATATAAGCCTGCCAGTGTGTTACTATTTCCAGCTGGTCAGTGTTTTACAAAGCTGTGGCTAGCCTTCCAGTGTGTTGGACTCACTGGTTTTTCCCTGGGCTGAACCACTGCCTCCTTCTCTGCTGCGGTACTCGGCAGTGACCAGGATGCTGTAACGTGTATCTGGCTGTAATGACTCGAGCACCACCTGCTTTTCGCTGCCTGGGACCAACACCTGTAGACAACAAACCCACCTTTCAAAATAAAGCTTTCAAGTAAAACATCTGTCTGTCAACACAGAGACACAGCTCATTTGACTAGGTTTTGACCCTAGAGTAGCAGCAGGATGAAGCAGCTGAAGAGATTATGACTGCAGCTCACTTACAGTGCTGTCCTGGGCTTCAGCTCCAGTCAGTGCAGTGTAAGACACACGATACTGGAGGACATGAGCATTGGGAGGTGCCCAGCTGACCACCATGCTGACCGCAGTCTCCTCAGAGACTGATATGCTGGATGGGCCTCCGCCAGACACTGCAGAGATATTTAGACTTACTGCAAGGCGCATTCAGCACACTTCCAATCTTTATTGTCCCACAAGAGGAAATTCTCTCTGGCAACAATGCAGCATAAAAAAACATCAACACAAAAAACACAATAAGATAAGTGAAGCATCTGAATGCAGTACAAATAAAAACCTTCAGTGTTCTAGCAAACAATAAAGCTGCAATAATAAGACTAGGCATAGAGGAATACTAGGTTGTGCTGGGTACCAAGAGGTGTATTAGAGTTAACTGCATCAACTGCAACATTAAGAACATGTAATCTTTGTGGAATATATTGTCTTTGTTGCCCTTTAACAATGGTCAGACAAGGGGGAAGTCATGTTTTTCTGAGGTCAGTAACCATAGAATGCAAGTAAGTACATTTACTCAAGTACAAAACTACTTTACTTGAAAAATGTACATATGGTAATTTGTTTTTCTACTTCACTACATCTCAGAAGGAAATACTGTACTACAACCAGCTACTCTAGACTGATATTAAATTATTAAAATGCTGCTTAAAGTAAATGTATCAGTAATAATAATATAATAATATATAGATATTTTGTGATTATTATGACGCTTATCTGCTGCTTTCCTGTTTTTATTTAAGAATTTTTACTTAAATACTACTTCAAATCCAGGACTTCTTACTTGTAATGAAGTATAAAATATTTCTACTTTTACTTTTCTACATCTTCCACCTCTGGGTTTTTAGAAACGTTAAGTCTCAGAGTAGTTATCACACCACTGGAGAAGATCACTGACCACAGGGCTATGTGATGACTCATTTCCATGAAGCAGGTTCATAACAACTGTGTCATCTGTGAATTTAAGAATATTCCCGTCCATGTATTGACTCCTGTAGTCGTTGTTGTAGAGAATAAACAGCACAGGGGACAGGACACAAGTGGGGGAGGATGAGTACTTAGATTGCTCTGAACCCCTGAGGTCTGCATGTTAACAAGTTCAGGATTCACTTCACAACATAAAAATCAATACAAGTTTTATTTGAGTTTTTGGTTCCTTATGGAATAGATACCAGACTATTTGCCAAGTTATGTTCAGGACACCAAGTCAGTGGAGGGGTTACCACGTGACATGAATAACATACTGCAATATTGCCTTTGTAGATTAGTGTGTGGGTGTGTGTGACTTACAGGTGCTATAGCGTATAGCCACAGCTTCACTCTGAGCTCCATCTCCATAAAGTGCAGACAAAGAAATCTGATACTCCTTATCATCCTCTACCCCCTCCAGGATGGCCCCTTCACTCCCGCCACTCACCCTCAACTACAATACATGACAGAGACAAAAGAATAGTAATCATTTAATTTGATCACACACTCCAGCCATTCATTAAACAATTCTGACCTGTCTCAGGTCTCCTCCACTGAGGGAGATCCACTTGATGAGGTAGGAGACAACATCGTCAGCTGCAGCCTCCCAGCGCACTGTGATATCACTGCCTGAGAAATTAGTCACCCTGAAGTCTGATGGAGAAGGCACCTTCACTAAGGAGAAGGAAAGAAACAGCACATTTCCTCTTAGATATTTTTAATCCAGTCACTTTAACTCTGCTATCACAAAACAATGAAACTGTTCCCCTAATGCATCAAAGAAATCTACAACCCCAAATCAGAATGTTTTTGGAATATGTTGCAGGCATCAGAACTGAAATGAGAGTTTACTTTGAACAAAAAATAAAACTGATGAGGTATCACATCAAATAATGTGCTGCTGTATTGTTTTCAATGTAATACAAGACAGATGATTTCCAAATCACTGTTTTTGATTTTACATACTGTCCCAACTTCTTCTGATTTTGGGGTTGTAGATGAAGTCTTCAAGCACAAACACTTGACATGTATTAATACATACAGTATGTCTTACATGTGGTGATGTTACTGGTGAGTGCTGCAGACAGGCCTTGTGGGTAGAGAGACTGGACTGAAACCAGGTATCTGGACAGAGAGGACAGGTTCTGTATCAGCACTGAGTTCGGCCCTGCTACGTCCACCTGGAAAGAGATTTCATAGGAATGACTGAAACAGACCCCAAACAAACTACAGCCTCCAAAATGATGAATCAGCATCCCCTGAGAAGAGTGAACGGTAACTGAATACTACAACCCTCATGAAGGAAGGATTTATTGATGGACCTTTGGATTAACACGACTTAGTTTTAGCTAGATGTACCTAATAAATTGCTTTGAACAGTTATCCATGAAAAAAATACAGCCAATTATTATGGATATTACAGGCGGCACAGGTCAGCGTGTGCTTAGACTGCCAGCTGGTGATATCGTAAAACTTAAGCATAACTGTAATAATGTCTAACAGTCAATATGCAACATCAGTTTTTAGAAACAGATTTGTTTGTAATTTGACACCAATATATTCTGATTATTTACCTGCTTGACGTCGCTGCCGTGGTTGGTGCTGTAGGTGATTCTGTGGCCGGGGATGTCCACAGCTCCGGGCACCCAGCTGACCGTCAGCATGCTGTGGGTGACCACTGGGAACTGAACGCTCATTGGTGGTGGGAGAGGAACTGCAGCGGGGTGGACAGCGAAATAAAAGGTGAGGGAAGAAAAGATGGAACACTAATAATTAGCCATTGCATTGAAGGGAATGCCTTTGTTTCTGTGCTAGAGATGTTGAATACAGACAAAATTAGGAGAAAAGAGAAAAAGATAGCGTGACAGCGATAAGAATTCCAGACAAAAAGGAAAATGGAATAATAAAAAGGTGTCTTACACGTAGTGGCAACCGCAGTGACAGGGTCACTGGGCTCCTCATCGTAAAGAGCGTACAGAGTGACGGAGTAGTCTGTTGCTGACAGTAAACCTGTCAGCTCCACCATGGTTTGGTCTGCACTGAATTTCTCCTGCAGCCATACAAACACAAAATACAAAAAGGTATGTAAGACTTCAATACCTGTGAAATCTCGCATTACTGAACATTTGAATGCTACAGTGGCATCACAGTGGCGTGGTGATTAGCGCCGTCGCCTCACAGCAAGAAGGTTTCAGCCAACCCGGGGCCTTTCTGTGTGGAGTCTGCATGTTGTCCCTGTGTCTGCATGGGTTCTCTCCCAGTACTCCGGCTTCCTCCCACAGTTCAAAGACATGTAGCTTAGGTTGACTGGTGACTCTAAATTGCCCCTAGGAGTGAGTGTGAGTGTGTGTGGATGTTTGTCTACATGTCAGCCCTGTGACAGACTTTTGACCTGTCCAGGGTGGACCCTGCCTCTTGCACAGTGTCAGCTGGGATCAGCTGCACCCCATGACCCTATTCAGGAATAAGCGATATAGATAATGGATGGATGGATGGATGAATGCTACAGTTTCTAAAGAGGGGATGAGAAATCCTCTGTGGTGAGACATGTTAAATAAGTAACACATTCCACACTGGACTTGTCCTTCACAGTGATACAGGTGATGTAGAAAATATGTTATTGAACACTCAAGACTTTGCAAACTTTGTATGGAATTTGTAATGTAGCATATGGTAGTGTTTTGAGGTTGTTTAACATTGTGGTGCTCTGATAATGTTTCTCCTCTTTTGTCAGTGTTGCTGATAGACATGTTGACCTATTTGTAATGCGATGACTAGGTCAGGTGACCATGCTTGGATATTCAAAACGGTTAAACAGCACTTTGTTTGAGATACTGGTGAAGATGTATAAAAAAAAAAATAAAGACAAAAGCTTAGAAGAGGATGTTTAGCCTCTGTATTTTTTGGACAGTGTGCGGATCCTCTGACAGAGCATAAAATGTTCTTACCTCCTTGGCGTCGTCAGGCTCTCCATGGTTGAGTGCTGAGTACAAGATCATGTATTGCGTCGCACCAGGTGCTGCGCCCCAGTTTACTCGCAGCATGCTGAAAGAAGAAGGAGTCACCTCCAGGTTGGCAGGCATGGCCAAGGGCACTGAGTGAGAGGGCCAGGAAGAGAAAAGAAAGGATGATGAGAACAAAGAAACATCAGAACTGGTTTTACAGCCTGCAAAGTGCTGATGTTGAGCACATTCTGTAATCTAGTGATGATTCAAGGCTCTCTAGAAACATAGTCTATCACATTTGCTGCTAGTTGAGTAACCAACAGACGTTCAGCAGCGACTGCAGTCTATTTCTTGGCCAATTATAATATATAATTCCACTTGTTTCCTCCTTGGGCCTCTTTTGGGGTAATTTAGAAAAAGTCGAGAACAGAGTGAAATCTATCATTTCTCTCATAGAATGGAGACGTTTTACATGAAAGCAACAAGGGAACAAAGAGACCAATTGTACACACCCTGTTACTTTCACTGAGGGGGATAAAATGGGTTCATTCTTGAACATGGTATATATACTTTAGAGGACGCCTGGAGTCTCAAAGCAGGATACTGGCATTTTAGGAAATTCACTTATTTGCTGTCTTACAGAGACAAATGGAAAAAAATCAATTAAAATGTTTTCTCTGTACCTTCCATATAGATGTAACTTGGTATGGAAGAGACCAGGTCAACTCTGTGTGGAACACATGCACTGGTGACAACCGTCTTAAATATGTATTAAACTGAATTTGGTGCAATTAGATTTTTTTGTATATAACATTGTCAAAGTAAGTGAGCGGGGCTTCAGTGCTGTGCTAACAATTCACACAAGCTACAAAAAACACATACTGTAGTAACACTGAATCTGTGCCCTGCTGAGTCACAGACATGACTTCTGTTCCACGATTAGGTGCTTTTAAAACATATTCCTCTTGGCAGTTCTTTTACTTAAATACAGTACAACCCTACCACAAGAAAATGTCATGGACAACTACTGACAAATATGACAAACACACTACAACCAAAATGGTAAAAAACAGAATGTCATCCTGTTTGTTTCACAAAGAAATGTAGCAGCACAGCAGCGCTCTAAAATATCACAAATAATGACAAAAGCTAACGATAGTGCACAAAGAAGAAGAAGAAAGCAACAATCTACTCTTTGTAATTGTAAAACTGCAACCAGCAAATTGCTTTGGTGTTATTAAATGATAAGGCTATCAATATTCTATATTGCTACATACACCATTTTCAGAAAAGTTGGGATATTTTCCAAAATGCAATAAAAACTAAAATCTGTGATGTGTGATTCAGTTATTTCACTGACCAACTTAATTGTATTTTTAAAATACAAATAATTTAGAATTTGAAGCCTGCAACAGTGCTGAGAAAAAGTGCAAGTTTAATTTAATTAATTCAGTTTTGACTAAGATACATTCAAACACAACTGTGTAACCGATGACCAAACAAAGTTAGTCTTACATGTGGTGACAGTTCCTCTGAGTGCTGGGCCAACATTGTCCTTATACACAGGAAAGATGGACACGTGGTACAGCGTCTGAGCGGAGAGGCCTTCCAGCAGCACAGTGGACTCCGAGCCGACCAGCACCACCTAGACACAAAACATTGCTTACAGTCAGATGAAGAAATCCACACAACTCCAACACTTGTTGTTTGAGATTCTGGTATTATAAAAAGTAGGACCACATCATTTTTCAGTTTGAACACAAAACTGCAAAAAGGTCTTGCATTACGCACAATTAATGATTAATGGAATTAATAGAAACTGCTGGAGAAGTATCACTGGCTAATTAAATGTGGTAGATAAAATATATTTACACACAATATATTACTGTAAGATTATACACATATTAACTTATTTACAAAAAGACCCACATAGAATATATATAAATGTTAATATATTTTTGGCACAATTAATACATTTTCATTACATGAATCAACTTCCCATTAAATATCCCAATGCACTGTCTGCAATTCAGTATAAGTCAAGTTTATTTATATAGTACCTTTAAAGACCAATAGTCAAAAAGTGCTTCACAGAAAAGTAAAAATACAAGTATACATCTTATAAAATAGCAATACGTTCCTAAAAGCTACAACAGAATGAGAGCACTCCTCAAAAGCCATTTTAAAAACAATGTGTGTTCCGACTCTATGTAAAAGAACATGCATTAGGTAGTGGCCTTACTTTTTACTGATTATTCTTGAGACACAAGGTATGATTTACTGAAGAGGACACACAATGTGTTTAACTTCTTTTGACCTCTCTCTCATAGCTGTAGCATTGTCTGAGCTGAAAGAACTGTGTTTTTTTCTGTTGAAATCAAACACACACTTCTCCCAGAATGTTACATCCACCACCCATCCATCCATCCATCTTCTTAGGCTGGGTCAGTGTGGCCATCTTCTCTCCCACTGTGATACAGAGTTGATTGCAGAACAGAGTCTGGTGTGCAGGAGTGTGAGTGGTGATGCACCAGCTGCTATTCATCTGCCATAATACCTCCTATTGATACTCTGTGGTGCCTCCATCATGCTGCTAGACTGTAGTCTCAGCTACCAAATCCATTAGTGCTCTACATTTACATCTTCTTGTTTGTTATTTTGTTCTAACTCAGTATACTTGTCTGTTCTGGCTAGATTAACATCCGTTCCATCCAGGTTTCTTGCCTGGTCTCTGTTCCCCTGGCTCCGGCTCTTTGGCATCTATTCTCAGCCTGTTCTCCAGCTGGAAGCTAGCCTGTGCCTCTGCCTCTCTCCCAGTGACCCACTACTTTACCCCACTCAGCCACCAGCCTTTCATCAAAATTCCATTTTTAATTGTAATAAACCTGCCTTGCTCCATCATCTGCCTTCTGCATCTGGGTTTGTTTCCACTCCGTAACACAGTACTGGATTATGATGTTAAACACAACGTGGAAGCTGCTGAAATCTGCCATTCTTCTGCAAGTTCTGCAAGTCTTCTTTTGTTTATATAAGTCTGTTTCTCTATGATTACCTAATGTGGTATTAATTTATGTGAGCTGACGTTTCTGACCTCCTGGGGACTCTGACCCTCTGCGCTGTGGTAAACCACTCTGTACTGCTGGACTGGCTTAGCAGGATTGGTCCAATGGAGCTTCACTTCTCTGGAGCCCAGGTCAGAGAAGCGGAGATCAGTAGGACTGGGGTAGGAGAGGACTGGGTCTGCTGTGGGCCCAGGCTCCATTCCTAAAGACACAGCCACAAGGGATTAGCAATGAGATACTGTATCATTTGGCAACCAAATAACCTGCAGTCAAAAAAATAGTCTGCATTTCATGTGTGTGAGATGAGCTGGCTAGAAGACAGACAGACAGAGAGTCAGATGCAATAAAGAGATTACGTTTTGCAATGCTACGGTCCTCTATCCTCCCACACAGGATGTGAACCAGTCGTGCCACCAGTTTGCTGAGCAGAGGGAAGTCATTGACATTGTAAACGTTCAGATCCACCGGTTCTGATGCAACTTGTCTCAACTCGGCTTCATCGGCGTTCTTCACACCTGAGTATCACAAAGGTAAAACATAGTTTAACCTACTTAGCACAAAAAAAGCATTTAGAACCAAATACCGCATATCAAAGAGAAAACTACAGAACTGTATCACTTAACAATAATCAAACCACATTATTCTTTAACAAGCAGCACTCCTGTCATGTCCCAGAGACTGAGAACACAAACTAAGTCCAGTTTGATGATAGTACCAGGGTGCACAGAAATGGAGGGGATGGATGTGATTGGATAAATGAAGACATGAACCCCAAAAAAGTGCTAAAAAGTAAAATTATGGCGGCTCACCTACAGCGATGATCTCCACGCCAGCATTCTTCAGCCGACTTGCTGCAGAAATGGCATCATCCTGAGATTTCCCATCAGTCAACAAGACCAGGAAAAATTGTGCTTCTGATCTTGCTCCTACCTCAGGTCTCATGTTCTCCTCCATGACATGGAGCAGTGCTTGGCCTGGAAGTGGATGTATGCTGACCCACTGACAGACATACTGTTTGAAGGCACACTGTGTCATGAGGGTTTACCTGTAAATGTGTTTCCTCCCTTATAGCGGAAGTTCCTTACTGCCTCCAGCAGCTGGTCTTTAGTGGTGAAGTTGTTGAGATGCCATTCTGTGCGGGGGTCCCCACTGTACTGGGTTAGACCTGAGACAAAAACACATCATCACAAGGCAATTTCCGATGTGGAAGGGTGTTAAAGTAACATATGTTACTTTAAGTGGCTCATTTGAACATTCTTGGGGTTTTGTTTTGTTTTGTTTGTCTTCACCTTCTGTTGGTAATAAAGAGCTATTTAATCACAAGCTCATACAATGAATGGGCAGTTTATTAGGTACACCTAGCTAAAACTTAGTCAGCCTAATTTACCTGCAATAAATCTTCCCTTAACAAAGGTGATAATGTTCAGTTTTTGTTAGAACCATTTCAGAGAGGTGTTGACTCAGCTGTATGGTCATTTTGGTGGCTGCAGTTCAACTGTACTGCATTATACAGTGAGCTGTTTCTGTTATTTAGCCTAGCCTCATAAAAATAAATGAGATTAAATACATATTTATGAATAAACTGAGCTGTAGCAAAGCAATATTAAAGTCATAATGATCAATGTTGTAACACACTTGTTTAAAAAAAGCCAAAACATACACATTATGTCTGTCATCAGTTATTGTATATCCCTTAAACAATTTGCACTTTGTAGTGAGCTGTATGAATGTTGATGTGAATGAGACATTGTGTGGTGCTGTGTTTGCATGGAAACAACCAACAGAAGAGAAGAGGGAAGGCTTCACCACTCAGATCCTCACCAATCTGAATGTGATTCGGTCCGATGTGGAAGGGTGTCACAAGGCCCTCCAAGAAGTCTCTGACCCGCCTGAAATTGGTGCGTCCGATACTCCAGGAGCCGTCCACAAGCAACATGATGTCTGCTGCTGCACTGCTGTCACACTGAAATTGTTTCCTTGGAGACACTCCTTAATAAAAGGAAATATGAACCACAAAATCTTGCACTGATCAGAGTTTGAGAGATTTTCAGAATTTATGACAAAAAGTGCTGCTTAAAGTCTCATTGTGAAACAACACCTTACTAAGACACTTTATGTGGGCTTTTCCTTCATTTGTTACCCGTCTGTACAGTAGTTAGCACAAGGGCAAAGACATGGTTTTAAATCAAGAAACAGATGGCTCTTTGCATTTAGGCAGGCAAAAAGTGTATGTGTACGTGTGTTGACATGGTGAACATGAATGTTTCCATACATGAATGTGTGTGTGATCCCTTGAATTTCAAGGGAAAAAGATGACACATCTCCCGCAGTGGAACAGGATGGCCTGTAATTATCATTCGCTTTACTTGTCCCTTCCTTGTGTAAACCCTGTCATCACATTTATACCTAACACTTACCACTCTCAAGCCTTTTGTTCTTTAACTCATAAGAAGAGTCAAGTGTGATGGCGGCGAGATGTTGTTTAAGATACCCCGCTTAACTCCCTGCTTAAAGGGAATTCTCTTAATCAGCACCATCATGTTTGGCTCATTAAAATAACAAATATCATTAAAAGTAGTAGTATGCATCGGAGTTTGTCATATTGTGTTTTTGTAACAATGGAGAGCACAGGTCACCTGTAACTGGCTGTGTAGGTGGTGACTTCCGGGGTTTCTCCTCGGCCTGTTTTCCCTGGGTCGTCCCCTGCACCTCCTTGTTCTCCATCTTAGACCGATCTCGCTCTTTTTCTGTTTTCTTCCTCCTCTTCTCTTTGGTGGGTTTCTCTGGGGCCTCATCAGGAAGCTGAGAAGGTGTTTCTATAGCTGGAGGCTCTGTAGGAAAGCAGTAATGGCAAGCACATGGGTGGAGTTACAATACGATAAGCAAAGATTGTTTAGGGAATAGTGGAGTCTGCATATGACAGGAAATCTACTGTTGACATTAGATCCATCTGACTTCCTATGCATCAAAGGGAACAGTGAGAGAAAACAATTTCCCTGCTAACACACACATTTTTTTTGCCTTTGCCTGCAAGATACAGCATCAATCATTTCTAAAACAGTCTCACACCCACCTTCCTTGTCCTTCTTCCATCTTGTCCCTGCTTTTGTTTCCTATGGTCTCTAAACATAGTTATTCCACTTACTGTTGCTGGGCTTTCATTATTGTGTGTGTGTTTGTGGTGTAGATCTGTGGAAATACAGTGTACTGTGCAAACTGTAGACACGTGTGTGCTTGCTTGTAGGTGTGTGTTGCCAACATTTCTGTGTCTCCTCTCTTTTAGTGGTATAATGATAGAGGCCATGGAAATCAGAGCACACAGAGGCAAATAATGAACAAAATCTATCTTCTCATATTATCCAGAGTTTTAGATTCTTGCACTGGTCCAGTATCATTTTCAGAAGCACCTTATGGACAAATCTCTTTGAAGCACATGATTGGTCAAGGCTACAGAATGGTGCTGAACACAGAGTATAGCTGTTGGGTTTCCACAGTTGACATCATATGTCATAGCCATTACGGGGATAAAAGCAACAATCATTCTAGTTTGACTATGATATCAAAACTCCATGTATTTATGCAGGTTGAAACTAGAGCTAAACTAACTAGAGTTTCTTCCAACTGATTTCACCACTTGTCTCCAGGAAATTATTAGATTTAAGGTTTAAAAACAGGCAAAAACTAAAGATTTTACAGCTGAGATGTTTAGTTTACCTTAAATCGTATCAGCCAGTGTAGCACTATCCCATGATGCTCTAGGAACTGCCTCTTATTTAGGTAGGATCAAAGTACTGTAATAGCACCAAGATGTGTGCGAGTGTGGATGTAGTGTTACTGTCTACTAGCACCTGCTACCTGTAGTGGTAGCAGCAGCAGTGGTGGGGTCTGGATACAGAATTGTTGGCAGGACCACCAGAGCCTCTGTTACATCGTCCAGATCTCCTGACCCTGAGCCACCTGGCAACATCTTCTTCTTTTGCTCTCGGCTGCCGCTGCGGACCATTTCGTCCTCCCACAGACTCTCCACTGGAAGAGAGACAGTGCAGCTAAGGAAAACACATACAAATAATTTGAACCAATTCATATAAATGTCACTAATATTATAATACTGTTAGCAGTACAGGCGTCTGGTGCCTTCCAAACATTTCACCCACCAGACCTTTGCCCCATTGCAATTCAATATCAACAGAATAACTTCAAAAATATAATTAAATATTTTTCATGCTAGTTTTGTGAGGCTAAACTTAGACAAAGCGATGCTTGGAGCTAAATGCTAATCCCAGCAGGTTGTACCAAAAAAAAGAAAAAAGTAGTATTTCCACTTTGGTCAAATCACTGCAGGAATGTCTGAATGCTAATGATGTAACGGCATGAATAGACAGCCTACCTATTTGCAGACTGGATTTCAGGAGGTAGCTTTGAGATCAGAGAGATAAACTGAACAAGTTAGAGGTAAAGCCAGAGCATGTTTGCTATTTGATAGTTAACTGCTTCACCAGGTCTTAGCAAATCCTTGCCTGGAGTAAAGAAACAAGATCAACAACGACAAACTGAGGGTGAAATTTCCTTAACATAGTGACCTACTATCACTAACATGCCCTTGAAATAGGTACTGGGCCCAGAGGGGGTTAAAACAAGTGGGAAAGGCGAAGACGCATCCGGAAAGAATTCCCAGACTACCATCATTCCAGCATGACAGTCAGTGTTACAAATTTCCAAGTCAACATGTTCTTCTGGCCTGCCAGGACACGCTCACCTCGGCACAGTTACCTAGTATAACCCGCACGGTTCGCAAGCTAATATGAGCCCCAGGAGAGTGTCAATAAGAGTCTAAGAATAAAGTGTTTAATATAAATTAGGGGGGAGTCAAGGGAGTAAAGGGATTCACAGTCACTGCTGTAGCAAATAACAGAAATGCCTGGAATAACCTGAGGGCCACGAAGTTTGCATAATGTGTTGCAAGTTCCCATGCAAAGCCTGAGCCACCAATCGCAGGTGAAGCATCATCATCCTTCCTTTTTTTCTCAGAAATTACCTGTTAACTTAAAACAAACTCTATAATCTGCACTAGAACACATAGTCTCAAACACCCAGCGTGGGTAGAAAGGCACTACTTAGGCCACTTCAGGGTTCCAGTGCATGTCTGAAAAAAGCTTTACTGTGTAATTTTGCTTGTAAGGTTGCTTTACCAGTAAACAAGCAGAGGTGGGCAGATTTACAACCCAGTACACAGGAAGGTCAAAACCATGCTACTTCCAGCCTGTAATCTGACTAGAGTAGGGCTACAGTAGTACTACGAGTGTGTGCGTTTATGTGGGTCAAAATGTCAATGTAACTTCCATTAAAATGACTTTGCTGTCTTGCCAAAGTCATCTGACATTACCAACTGAGTCAACAGCAGTGATGATGGTATTTCTTTTTATCTCTAGCCAGTATTGTACATCACATCATGCCTGGGGATTTTCTGGTTTCTGGTGCAACCCCACAAAAAAGAAGCATGGTTTGTGAACTCTAGTTAATTAAAGTAAAAATTTACAGTGCGCCAAAAAAATTATGATAGAACATGGCCTATTTAGATATGCAGTCATGTTCACTGTTGTTGATACAAATTCAGTACATGCCCTTAAACAACCTACGTCATACAACTGTATTCTTCCACACCCTATCTATATCTTTCCAATACTTCTCATCCTCCTGTCCTGTCTGTCTATGGCAGGTAACCTGTAAATCCATAATAAACTGTTCAACTTCAAAGTAAAGTACTTTGTCATAGCTGCTATCAGAGTAACAATGGATTTCTGTTCCCGCTCACTCAGTGGTACACCTTATTAATACAGTTTTTTTTTCCGGCACACATGGCCTCACTTGTTTTTATCTCAGTAAGCTCCTGAAGGCCATTTGTTCTCTTTGTGCTCATCTACCTCCCTCTGTCCACTGTTTTCTTCTTTCTTCTCAGTCAACCTTTTTGAATCCTCCCATCCAACCTTGCTGCATTTCTTACTGGTGAATCGTCTCTTTGCAAGAAGTTTCTCCGTTGTCCCATTTAGCACAAGGACCTGGAGGGCGTACTCCTGACGGGAGTCCAGTCCCGCCACTGTTGCCCGACCCCGTGTGGTAGTCAGCATCAGCTCTGGCTGTGGCACCTCTGGAAAAGAAGACAAGAATTTTGGTTGAGAACTGACTGCTTTGGTGTTGTACATGCTTAAGTCTAAAGGGAAAGTTAAGGTTCCTGGCATCATCTAAGGTCATTTTTAGAACAAATAAGTAGGATAAGAAAAATAAGCAGGACAGAGCCAGTATTTTAGTTTTGGCTTGAAATTTACTGCCATTACAACAAATGTTGGTGCGCTTATAATGCAGGGCACGCAAGACAATCTACACAGCCTGCTAATGAAGCCATAATATAAATAAACTATAAAAACATACATACAATAATGCTAAAGGTAGTAAGGCAGTACCAAGCTGAAATATGATAAAGGTTATCACATCACAGTTTCCACTGAAACCAAACAACTTTAAGATTTTATAAATGTCAAACATTATAGTGTCAAGGAAATTTAAACTCTTATACTTTCAAGAGATATTCTCCCATGGACATTTCTCTCTCCTCAAGTCTATGATCCTCTCTTTTTTTTTTTTTACTATTCTCAATTTTCACAATTCTCAATTTTTCACTATTAAACTGAAGGCTATCATTGCTGCACCAGCTTACAAGATCAGACACCTCCCACATACTGTATTATGCTGATTCATCTGATCTTGTTATTAACCCAACCATAGCTAATTTAATTTTTCAGCAGTCACCATAGTGTCCAGTCATTTCTATATAAAGAATAACACAGTGGCAGCAGCTCTGACCAGGCACTGTGTTAGCTGTAAATAGCTTAGTGTTTAACCACTTGCTACGTACATATTACATCATTTCTACCTCATTTTAATCTTCCTAATTATTTTACCTGAACTTCTAAATATTCTTACAGTAATTAAAAATACACCACAGCCTTAGTTGTCTCTTTGCTCTCATATCATTTGTCACATTTCATATTTGACTGTTTTCTCAATGTTGTTTTTTGTATTGTGAAAGTAAACGCCATTTTATTGTAACACAATATATTTTAAAACTTTATGACATAATAAGAAATGAGGCATTGATGGCCCTCATTCTCTACAATCTAGTTACCTGGTCTGGGTCAGATCAGCTTCTGCACATGTTTCCCCAAGATGCAAAAGTCAGCATGTAAGCAATAAAGTGAACAACATATTTTCCAGCATAAACACTGCAGGTCTAACTGCAGCTGTACTCTAAACAGTGGAATGCAGCGTGCTGTTCTGTCTGTTTATGTACACCCAGAGTAATATCAACCTTAAATACAGTGAAGCTAAATCTTAGTAGGGAAGTTTTCAGCAACTTCATGTGTAATCCCTCTTTTCATTCTTTCTGAAAGTTGTCTAAGCCCCCGTCTGTGTCTCTTCTAGACCTGCCTGGGCTTAACTGCACAGTGTGGAATGGGAGATATGAGGGTGACAAAGAGAAACTAATATTAAGACGTTAGTGGGGCAGGAGGAATGTGTACAGCTGTGAAGAAAGAGGGGAGGACAGGCAGCTTGCCATCACTTGTGAAACACGAGCTGACACATTCAGTCTGGATTACACCAAGATGAAAGTCACTTTCACACCATATTTAAAATTAGAGAACGAGGAATCAAATGATGATGTTGCAATGCATTATTTTTCTTTTTTACGTTTTCTTTAGTTTTGTAGCTGCCTGCTGAGCCAGAGGCACAGCTGCTCCTGCTTATGATGCTATCCATGGGATTCCAAAAACAAAGGATCCAAGATAAATCAGACTCCATATTTATTAAGGGTCCCAGAGCAGGAAACTTGGCCTGCTCAGCCAGACGTTATTAGAGAGACACAATCAGGCTCTGAGTCACACGCTTGGGGTCCTTCATACAGTAACTGTAAATGTATGTATGTGTTACACCTGAAAGACCCAATAATTTGCAATCCCTTCCCTGCATGTGATAAACATGGTAATGGGAGTTTTGGATGTGTTGATTCAACAACAAAATGAAAAATTAATTATTTCATTTGGCTGTACAGCATGTCACTGATTGAGAAGCAGATATAAACAGCCGTCTGTGAAGAATGGCAGAATATCTCTCTACAGACTTGTCCATGCACAGGAGGATCGACTGTGGGTGGACATAAAAAAATTCTGAAAAAATAAGACTGGAATCTCACTAATGAAGAGTTTAATGATTTATTGTTTGCAGTCGGTTCTAAATATGGCCCTTCCTTTACAGTTTAATTAATCAAATGTTTCTGTTTATCAAAATAACTGGCTTTATTCTTCTTGAGCTTTGATAAAAACAAATACAGTTCTATTGAATATGATTTTAATGGTACTGAGCAGGGACGTACTCACTTTTTGTAAATGCATGTTAGAATGCCGATGAATTTGATATACTTTAAGTTAGACCATAATACTATTGTTAAGCTATGTATGTTATCAAGTAAATTTCTTCATGTAGAAATTTCACACATGGTTGCCTTCAACACTTCAATGCAGCCAGGAAAGTCTCACCTGAGATGGGTCTCACTCGGACCTTGTAGCCCTGAACGGGTCCATCAGCCTCCTTCCATTTCATCTGCAGTCTGTCCTCAGACAGGACCGTCAGCTTAAGACGACCTTAACATTCACAGAGACAGGAGAGAAGACAAAAAAATCTTCAGGTTTTGAAATGTATGAGTGTTGTCTAGTCAAAGGCTTGGGTCAGTAGGTCTCATTCTCCAAGATGCCCTAACCCCTCTCACTTCCTCCTCCCTAAATCAAAAACATCTCTTGTTTCGATATAATCTACATAATTTCCAACATGGGTTTTCTAACAAGCAGTGTCTTTCATGTTTCAATCCTCCCATCGTCCTTCCAACCCTCTCTCCAGCTGCCCCTTCATCCATCAAAGCATGCCCTGTCCTCCTCTCTGCTATAGAAACAGGAACAGGATGCTTTTGGGGACTAGAGGGTCAAAGGTTGTGCCAGAGGCACATCACAGAGTTACAGTGTGTCAGGGTTTTATATGTTCTATGTGCTGGGGAAATAGATAGAGAAGAAGATGAGGAGGGAAACGGAAGGAAAGTAGACAGAGGAGTGTAAACATGAACAGTGTGAGTCACAGAACACTGTCTTCATCACTCCTGTAGACGTATAATCCTAAAAACTCAACAGATCTTTTTCTGAATAATGTGTATGTGTTTATGTATGTATGGATGGCTGCATGCATGTATGTATGTGCTGTGCGTGTATTTCAGCCAGGGGCCTCTGGAGGGTCCTCATTTTCTTGGGTGCCTGACAGAGGAGCAGACAGGGTCTGATGGGGATTTAAAGAGACCGGGGTCAAGGTCTAACAGACCCACTAATAAAAACACATTTTCCAGGCAGGCAGGCGTATAATACACAAGCACAGTAGCTGTGTTATACTCCCTGATTTGTGGAGTAAAAGCAGCTGGTTGTGACTGTAATTCTTTAGTTCAGTACTGAAATAGTAAGGCATTGAGTGATTTCTTAAAACATGATTTTCTTAAAAAACAAACAAACAAAAAACAATAAAGTAATGCAGACATTGCAAAATTCTCAAAAGTAGGTTAAAATTATGCTTTTCACTGTGATGTATTGTTCCTATAGACCACCACTAGAAAATACGTGTAAACAGACTGTGCACTAAATGTGGCAAACTAGAACAAGAAACGTTCAACTGTAAACAATAAAGTAAATAGTAAATTATAACTATTAAGGTGAAAATTAGACTATAGTATATGTGGATATGTATATTAATATACATAAAATGATGTTTGAGATATTATGACATAATGCTACTGCCTCTGGTAAAGCATTTTCTTTGAAAATATATAGTAGGTAGCTAACAAGCTAGCAATGCTAGCAATTTCTCTCCTTATGAAAAAAAAAAAGAAAAGAATAAAGCTATTGCCAGTTTACATAAAGATTCATTTCATAACATCTGACAATGCAAAAAAAAAAAAAACACCATACAAGAAGATTAAAATGACATCATGTTGGGCTTAGCGTCAGTGCTAACACTTCCATTTAATCAATAGCAATGTTAGATAAATCTTGTAGCTAAACGACATCTGCCATCAAAAGCTAACTACAATACAACGTCTGTTTTTCTATATCCTGTGAGGACCCTGCTACCATTCTCTGCTACTTCAGCCCCTTCATCCAAAGTTGTGTATGTGACATATTCTCAAAGGGCTATATAATATTGGTCAAGAAAGACACTACCTTGGCCATGGACCCCTGAGGACAGCAGCAGGACGACACTGAGCAGGATACACACCATTAGCCAGAAAGATGATGAAGATGAAGCGGAGAGGTGAGGAGACATGAGACAGGTGGAGCCTGGAAACACAAAAAATTAAAGCATTCAAAATATGACTGAACTGTTATTTGTATGTATTTATATTTATCATACATAAAGTGAATTACTTTGTGTGAAAACTTGTTGAACAGAAAATTGATTAGCAACCATTTTAATGCCTGAGTAATCAAAGAAGTAATTTTTTAAAGCAAAAATTACAAAAATTAACCCGTTTCAGTTTCTTAAAAATGAGAATTGGTGATTTTTGTTTTTTTCCATGATAGCCAACTGAATAGGGTATGTTTGGGTTCTGGACTGCTGCAGTCTGAATATGTTGACTTGCAGCATTATACATTATATTCTGATGTTGTATAAACTATCATCAGTAATAAACTACTGATTAATTAAACATAAAATAATTAAAATCAATTCTGCTATTTTGGAAAGGTCCACTGGACTCTGAATAGGCCTCATAACAGGTGGTAGATAAAATTGTTTTTTAAAATTTCATTTTGGTGAAAAGAAACAACATTTTTTTTTTTTTTTTTTACCTGGCACCAACATATCCTGTCACTTTTTCCCATGGGAACTGTTTTACAACTCACAGTACAGGTGTTTCTGTGACTCTTTCTATTACAGACCCTCTAATGTTACACAGCTAATGACACACACACACTGGGTTGTAATGTAACAAACATGCACCTCTTTAAGGGGTCATATATGGATGACCTGCAACTTCTTACTTCTAAACTATGACAAAACTGAAGTTATTGTGCTTGGGCCTGAAAACCTTAGAAATCTGCTGTCTAATCATATAGTTACTTTAGATGACATAGCTCTTGCCTCCAGTACTACTGTGAGGAACCTTGGAGTCATCTTTGATCAGAATATGTCCTTTAAATCACACATAAACCAAGTCTCTACATCTGCCTTCTTTCACCTGCGCAATATTGCAAAAATCAGGAGCATCCTGTCTCAAAGTGATGATGAAAAACTGGTCAATGCATTTGTCACTTCCAGGCTGGACTACTGTAACTCTTTACTATAAGTATATCCCAATAATTCCCTAAAAAGCCTCCAGTTAATCCAAAATGCTGCAGCCAGAGGACTGACAGGAACGAGCAAGAGAGATCATATCTCTCCCATATTAGCTTCTCTCCACTGGCTCCCTGTAAAAGTCAGAATAGAATTTAAAATCCTTCTCCTAACATACAAAGCCCTTAATGACAAGGCTCCATCATATCTTAAAGACCTCGTAGAGCCTTATCATCCTAACAGAGCACTTCACTCTCAGAGTGCAGGTTTACTTGTGGTTCCTAGAGTCCACAGAAGCAGAATGGGAGGCAGAGCCTTTAGCTATCAAGCATCTCTCCTATGGAACCAACTCCCAGTCTCAGTTCGGGAGGCGGACACCCTCTCTACCTTTAAGATTAGACTTAAGACGTTCCTTTTTGATAAAGCTTATAGTTAGGGCTGGATCAGGTGACCCTGAGCCTTCCCTTAGTTATGCTGCTATAGGCCTAGGCTGCTGGGGGGCCCCATGATGCTCAGAGCTGCTCTACTCCTGTCTCCTCCTTTCCTCTCTCCCTATGCTCTCTGACGAGCAGTCACCAGCCACATCGACCTGATCAGTGTTTGATTGTTGTGTCTTGTTGCTTTTCTTCTTTTGTCTCTCCTCTATCCACTCACCCCAACCGGTCGAGGCAGAAGGCCGCCCACCAAGAGCCGGGGTCTGTCGGAGGTTTCTTCCGTTAAAGGGAGTTTTTCCTCCCCACTGTCGCCAAGTGCTTGCTCAAGGGGGATTTGTTGGGTTTTCCCTCCCTAATAATAATGATAACAGTAAGGTCTAGACCTTACTTTGTAAAGTGTCCTGAGATGACTTTTGTTGTGATTTGGTGCTATACAAATAAAATTTGATTTGATATATTATGTTTTAATGCTTATTCTCTCATTAGGAAATAAGCAGGCATATGAGTGATCATAAATCAGGTTAGATGACCCAACCATCTGTATATTTCAAATGTCTGACTCCAATAAAATATTAATTTATAATTTTGCAACGCACTATAAAAATGATTGTACAGCATGCTGTGTGGGCTAAAGCTCTTCAGAAAACAAGGGCAAAAAATATGACATTTTCATTGTGAATAAGAACATTGTTCAACACACTGCAGGCTGATGAATGCTCCAGTTACAGTAACTGTCTGGTAGCTCAGCTATGATATTGGAGCTTAAAGACCCTGCACTAGGATTAACTGCCAGTTTCACCACTGCTAATCTTCTGAGTCATGTTTTTTTTTTTAATAAACTCAATTATCTAATGTGAAAAATGTTATATTAATTATTTAATGCTGATATTGGTCTGGTTGCCTGACTATCTATCAGTAGATTAGCATGGTCTCAGGTCAGATTCATAATTCATTTTCTAAAACCTTTCCTGCCCTTGGAGTGACCTCACTGAGAAAATGTAAAACAGCCTGAACTCTAGTCAACCCCAGCAAGCATGCAGGCAGCCTACTGATGAAGGGACAAAAGATCAATGTGCAACACTCAAAATTATGATTTTATTTTGAGCTCAATAATGTCATATGACTGATAGTTGGTTTTCTAAAATTGGCATATTTGTTTGGCATTTATATCCATAAACAGGTTTTAGTTAACTAAAAATGTATCATATTGCACATATGTATTGAGTATTAGGCTAATTAATTAATTAGTTGGAAACTTTATTGCTCACATGGCAGAAATGCATCTTTGGTTTCACCAAACTAAAATGTATTTATTGATTTTTTTTTGTCAATAACAAATAGTCCTCCTGTGGGCACCCATAAGTGAAGACTTGTGTAACAGACAATGGATGCTAATAGAACCCAGTTATAATAGGCCTATTGTTATATCTTCATAAAAACCATTTAATCTTGTGAAAAATGCTGCACATTAATAAATACTTTAAAATGTCCTTATTGCTGCATACAACTACATTATAATCTAGTATAAACCGTTAGATTTTTGTTTTACTGCTTAGGCTTTAAATGTAGTATTACCCCCAGAAGCAGTTTTTATTGACAACTGTAATATATACAGAAATGTTGTTGATATCGATTTTAATTAATTATAAGGAATGCAATTATTGAATTCTTATACTTAAGTGTAGTCTGTGGCCACATGTGCTCCTTCCCCAGGTAAGATTTTTTTAAACAACAGTCTGGAACAATGGACGGTGGCAAGTAGACTTTACAGGTAAGCCCATTTTAGTCTTTTACATAAATCATCAGGACTTTTAGAGAACAAAACCACACATAACCACAGTGGCACAACTACTTCTCTCGCCTCCTTGGAGCAGCCAGGTGAAGTCTTACCTGGCTATTTGGTGAGTCCGGGTTGTTCCTTCCAGCAGACTCCACACAGCATTCCAGAGGTGGGATGTCAGTCTCCGCCAGCTCCGCTAAACTGTGAAGCAGCTCCCCCCTCTTCAGGTTCTATCTGAGCTCCTCCGGGTGAAATCTGAGAAGCAAGGCGGGGACTCCAGAGCAAACACACCCAGCAGTACAAGCGCACACTTTGCATACATCACTTGCCCCGTGGGACCTTAGCTGTTTGGTGCTATTTAACCATATAATGCGTGTCACCTAATACAGTGGCTGATAAATTTAAGGAAAGTTTTTTTTTTTTTTAATGCAGGTGATGCTGATTCTTTTCACCACTTGTAGGACACTGGCAACAACAGATGTACTCTGCACAATAACAGCACTATTTCAGTTATGACAGGGAGGAAAGAAGTAGGAGTCTACATGTTTCAGCACTCTTCCAGCTATAAATGTAGTACTTGATTAGTAGTTCATTCAATTTATACTGTGTTAAATACATCATCAGGAGAAATATCATTTTTAACTTCATTTTATTTCTCAAAGTATTGGAACAATGCTTTACAGAAAATCCTGACAAAAGTGGCATTTCTGACTAAAAGGTGGGTGCATCAGGTACCACAAGCTTAATCATGGTGGATTCAGAAAATAGCTCTTTAAAGTTGTTTTATAGGCTGCTGACAGTCACAAGGCACTTTAGGGTACAGTCATTGTACATCTCTTCAGCCAATGGGTCAAAACGATGGAGACCACTGATTATCATTACCATTATTTTGAGGCCTTAACTTCAAGACATCATAGAGAAGATCCCTACAGTTGAAACACTCAAGACAGTCAATCAACAAAAAAAAAACTTCAGTAATTTTAATAATTGATTAATCATACAAGTTGCTTTTCAAGTGAGGATTTGCTGCTTTTCTTTGTCTAACATGATAGATACTGAATTGTGATGTCATTTTCTTCTCCATTTGTCAAAAAAGTAAGTTGCGAATTTACAGATGAATGGTCAAACAGATCTCACTGACCTGTTTATATTGAACTGGATGTAGCTTTGATAACTCAGCCTCACAAAGAAGAACAGCAAAGCTATCTGCAGAAATAGAATTCTGAGGAAATATATTCAATGTTAATCTGGTTTTTACTCAAATTTAAGAATGCCAATTTCTTGGGAATCAGGCTGAACAATTAAAGAAAAGAAAGGGATGCAACAAACTCTAAGAGATTTCTCCTCAAGTCAAAAGCTTTAACAATAATATTTCTACAATGTCTTTCAGTTACTGTTAACAGCTTTGTGAAGTACACCTGTACCTGAAAAAGCACCCACTACAAGATGTAAAAGTATCCCTTTAGAGCTGAAAACCGCTCTCCCCATACATCATACCTTTTTGACATGTGCATGTACTGGCTACATTTCTGAAGCTCCCCTAAGGTAAAACATCATAATTAGTATTCCAAGGGCACAGGTAGTTACAGTACAGCCGACAAAGAGGCACTGGTCTGGCCTGAAGACATGACTGGGGGGAAGAGAGGAGCTGCAGAGACCGTATCCCCAGACAGCGTTTTTGGAAGCGCTTCTTTGATGTCACTGTTCAAATCATATGATGGAAGAGTTGGAAAGGAATGACTGCTCATATCCGGTCATGTCAGTGCAGAGTGATTTCCTGTTCCTCATCTTCATCAGCAGCCAACTCCTCTCCTTCATCTCCGTTCGTCCAC